GGAACACTGACTTAAGATTGAGTGACCACAGACGTCATCTCCAGCCAGGTGTTATGCTCACACCTGTCACCCTAACGCAGTCAGATGGAGGAGACTTCCTGTCAGTTCCTAGCCGTCCTGGACAACACAGCACGGCCTGAAAAATGAGACCTTATCTCAGAAACAAAAAACTCCAAAGCTGTCCTCTCTAGCAGCACCCAGCGGTTCAGCTGCCAAGCGGGGGCCGTGGACTAAAACGGGTAGCAGGTGGTAGTGTCCACACCAGAAGGAACCAGGAAGGGATGATAGGAAACATGATGTATGTCCCACCTCCAGGGTACCCCGCTATTGATTGGGGCCCACTGTCATGGTGACAGGGGCTTCCTCACCAGAAAAGTGCTCTCTCTCACCTCTACTTAACCCTCCTGTATACTGCACACTGTGTATGCCTATGCCCCACGCAGAAATGTTGCCGGCTTGTCTAGCTTCTCTGGCCCGTCCATCCAGTCCCTTCTGTCCCCCAGGCCCTGGGTCCTGCCTCAAGTGTGAGCCTGCCATGAGGGGGGTGGCGTAAACACTGCTGCTCACCCTGGTGGGGCCGGTGGCTTAGAGTTGTTCTCTCATCCGCAACAGGTCTGCCTCTTCGGGAATGCTGAGGTGTCCCTGCGGGACCACCTGCGGGCGGGGGCCTCTGAGGAGGAGCTTCTGAGAATCATTGGGGCAGCAGTGGGTAGGAAGAAGAGGCAGCATGCAGGTAAGGGCTGGCGGGAAGACTGGGTGGCGGGAGTGGGCGGGGTCAGTGTGAGGAAAGCCTGGAGGAGAGGGTGGGGTGATAAGCAAGCCTGGGCCAAGGGTGCCCGGTCTAAGTGTCCTCTGGCCACTCCTGTTGGGACGTTAGATTTGGGGCGTGGTGGTTCTCTGAGGAAATCGACATAGCATGGGCTATACAGGGGGACCCCAAATTCTCCTGAGCTGTTCTATCTGGCTAGGAGATATCACTGCTCCCTGGATTCCCACTCGTAGTCTTTGGGGGAGAGAGAGGGGGAGTGCCAGGTCCCCGGGCGTCCCCAGACTGTTCCCTGGGCTCCACCTTGGGTGACCTTGCTGTGACATGTGAGTGAGGGATTTTGTCAGGGTGCTGTGGCTGTGCACAGCAGTTTGGAGTCACGGCATCCACAGTGTGTTTCAGTGAATGCCCCCTCTCTCCTCCCTGCTTTCCTGTCTGCCCATCCTTCCCTCATACCAGGCATGTTCAACATCGCCCAGATGAAGAACAGGCCCATGATCCTCATTGGTGGGTGACCTATCAGTACGTAACTACCCTTGTCGTTGGGGGGTCCTGTGGGGTGGTGGGGGCCCTCTCAGTGAGACAACCCCTGCTCTGCTCCGTAATAGTCTTCCTTTTTATTTTTAGATTTCTCCTTCCATCTTTTCTTAAACCTCCCATGTCTGCCATTTCTTCCCTGTCCACAGCAACCCCTCTGTCTCTAGACTTAGAGTAGTCCTTCTCCCTTTCCCGAAGTCAGGGCAGGGGCTTCTAAAGACCTGGCACTCGCTGAATTAGCTCTCCTCGGAGAGTAGGGCTTCTCCTCAGCTGTGGAATCTCCCAGCAGAACACAGATGTTCCTCCTCTGCCACATGGGGCTACTGTGCACATGTGTGACCCACCAGTTGTCTCTGCCAGGCGTAAGTCGAGGGTTTGACCTTTCCATCCCCGCACACTCCGGGGACTGTCTGTGAACAGGAGTATCTCGAGTACAGGGTGCCTCCTCGATTGAAAGCACCACTTTGTAAAGCCCAGGTAGTGTCCTGGGGAACTGGGCTGGACCTGAGGGTCTAGGAAAGTCACTGCTGTTCTTCTCAGTGCCCAGGTGGCGGCAAATGACGCCTTGACCCCCCCCCTAGGTCACACCCAGATCCAGGCCCTCCGAATTCGCACATCGGAACTGAAAAAGCACTAAGAAACCTGAAGGAAACGGTTCCTTCCCCTCCAGAGTTTGGAGCAGAGTGGCCCACAGGCCCAGAGCAGAGCAGAGGCCCTGGGCCAGAGATAGCCCAGGATACCTCAGCACACTGGCCACCCAGAGCAGGAGAGGCATTCCAGTGGGGAAGGTACCTTAGTCATCCCCCTACCCCGCATATACATCTTCACAGTAAGGATTGGGGATGCCTTGATGGCCCTCCCTCTGATTGACGAGGGTGGGCCTCAGGGTATGATGGAGAATCTCTTGACTGATGTGTGTGGAGTGTCTAACCTGGCCTGGTTTTCATAAAACAAGAGTTTTGTCAGTCAGGGCCTCTCTGACCCAGCAGCCTGTGAACCCCTGAGCTGGTAAGACCGGGGTGAAAGTGCCCACTTGTATACGAGTTCTCAGCCGCCACTGATGTCGGGGTGCCGGTGCTGGTCTTTCGTCTGTTCTTTGGGAAGCGGCAGTCTGCAGAAACCCCAAGGTTTTCTGGACATGGGAACCAATCTGTCCCTTAATGTCCTTGTAGGGACTTGGCAGTGCTTAAGTAGATGAACTATTTGCTTAGTGTCTTACCTGTCAATCAGACGACTGCTCTTCACTCTCCATTGGAAGTATCAGGGTAAAAATCCCTGTGATTGGTAATTCAGGGTGAGACCTAGCTAGTCTTAGGAAAACAAATGGACATCAAAAGGCTGTTTGTTCCAGGCATCAGTCTTCAGGCCTAAGGCAAAACTTTGGGGACCAAGTTTAGAAGCACAGGAGACAGGTAAAGTAAGTGATCTTGTACCACTACTGCCTGAGGAGCACAAACTGAAGTTAGGCACCTTCCTCTGGTTTCTTCTCTGTCTACTTGTTTTGTTTTGTTTTGTTTTGGTTTTTAAGACAAGGTTTCTCTGTATAATAGCACTGGCTGTCCTGGAACTGTCTCTGTAGCCCTGACTGTCCCGAACTCCCTCTGTCGACCAGGCTGGCCTTGAACTCATAGAGATCCACTTGCCTCTGCTGGGATTAAGGGCGTGCACCACCACGGCCAAGCCCAGCTGTCTGTCTGCTTCTGTCTTTCCTTCTCCCCAGTGTGAATGAGAACTTCTGGTAGGACAGTGAGGGGTCATGAGAAGAGACGGAGGCAGGACTCGTTTGCAGGTTCAGTCTCTCCTCTTGCCTTCCAGGGGCATTTTTGATGCTTCAGGATTCCCCACCAGCCAGTTGGAGAACTTTCCCCTGGGATCCCCTCTGTGTTCAGAACCTGAGTGCCAGGGAGAATCTCTCTGATAAGACGGCAACTTTGTGGAAGAGACTCCGCGTTCCCATGGCCCTTCCTCCATCTCAGCAGTGCCTGGGGTCTGGATCCCCTCACAGACACTACAGCTGCTACCCAGACTCTGACACTGCCCCCAAGTGCCTTAGCAAAGGCTTCCAGGATCCTGCTGTCCCCTCAGGACCTGGGCCAACCTCAACTCAGCTAACTCACGTGGATTCGGAAGGACGGGCAGCTATGGTAGATGTGGGTGGGAAGCCAGACACACAACGGGTGGCTGTCGCCTCTGCTGTGGTCCTTCTTGGACCTGTGGCCTTCAAGCTTGTCCAGCAGAACCAGCTGCAGAAGGGAGACGCCCTAGCGGTGGTCCAGCTGGCTGGGGTCCAGGCAGCCAAGCTAACCAGTCAGCTGATCCCCCTGTGCCACCACGTGGCCTTGAGCCACGTGCAGGTACAGCTGCAGCTGGACAGCACACGCCATGCCGTGCTGATCCAGGCATCGTGCCGGGCCCGGGGCCCCACGGGCGTGGAGATGGAGGCACTGACCTCAGCTGCCATGGCTGCCCTCGCCCTGTATGACATGTGCAAGGCAGTCAGTAGGGACATCGTGGTGACAGAGGTAAAGCTGATCAGCAAGACTGGGGGCCAGCGGGGGGACTTCCATCGGGCTTAGGGCGCCTCGCCCACTCACTGCAGTCATGTCTCCCAAGGGGATGCAATTTGTGCCAAGGAAAAGATGTCACATTCCTCTAAATCTAGTCGCTGTGGCCCTGTCTCGTTGCTAGTGATATTTATCATAACCTGTGAAATGTCCTCAACGTAAGACACCTCCGTCCTTGACACCTTCCAGGTCTCCAGCGATGATACCCCCACCCACCCCAGTCATGTCGTATCCAGGACGCCAGCAATGGAAGGTTTGATCCTGGATCCCTCCAGTCATGTCAGATTTCTTGAGTTGCTTCAGATGTATAGCCTTAGGTTCTCATTTAGGGTTCTCTCTTCTCTCCCCGGGGAGACAATAAGGGCTCATTAAGCAGAGGAACCCATTGGAGAATGGAAAAGCACAAGCTCCCTAAGGAAGGTATCACAGTGTCCCACTGCCTGACCTCCAGCCCTCTCCTCCGGGGAGACGCTTAAGGACCACAACCCTAAGGACTCCTGGTTCTGCCTACTGCGGTCTGCCCACACCTCTCCTCTGGCACATATCAGGGAAAGAGGAGTTGAAGGTGACCTTCAGCCTCAGCGCACAAATAAAGCCAGCTTTGGAGATGAGGACTCTTGTCTGTGAGAAGTTTTACCCCTCAGCCCCATCCCAGGATACTCTCCGAAGGGGGGGGTGGGAGGAGGGACCCAAGAAAGGCTGGGGGCATGCTCTCTAGACTCCCCCAGACGGTCGGGGTGAGAAATGCAGAATGCGGAGACAGACAGGAGTCTCAACTCAGCTGCATTGCCAGCTCTTGGGGACCGGGCTTGTGAACTAGAGGCTCCTGGTTCATGCACACCAAACAATGGCCTGGCATGCTGGGTTCTCAAAGGAGGGTGGCTTCTTGGGTCTGCCTTCAGTGGTAATCCTGACCTGGCACTTTCTCTGCTTTGTAAAGAGGTGTGATGACAAATGTTCCCAACTCAAGCCATCCACATAACCTCAGTTGGCTTGGAACATTCCAGAAAATGTACATTGGCACTCACAAAACTGGGTGGAACTGGTAGGAACTAGCTTCAGCCCACCACTGGTTTAGCCCACTCGAGCACAACTCAAGTCCACACAGGAAGAAGATATGTTTCTAGGCAGGCTGGGAGTGGGGATGAATTTAATATTTTTTAGTATTACAATATATTCTTATAAAAGGGTGCAGGTAAAAAGGACACTGTAGAGTTCTGTACATATGAACCTTACTTGTCTTCTGTAGCAGCTGGTAAGAGTGGCCTTGGCATGAAGGTTGGCAGATGTTCTGTGGAGATGTCACTGCTTCCAGTTGGTAGCAGTAGGAATGGATGGGAAGAGCCCATACCTATCTCCGCCTACCTGAAGAGTTTTGCCCTTCCACTCCGTGGACAGCTTCCATCTTGAGAAGGGGATTGCTGCTGCTGAGCAGGGGTGTGTTGACTGGACTAAATCTTACATTGTGCACAAAGTTAACTGGAACAGTTGACCCATAGGCGGGATGGGTGGGACTGTACTGGGGTTGGCTTCGTTTAACGTTGAGGACTGGCCTGTCCGCCTCCACTGGGTACCAGTCACTTCCTGCTGAGTCACAATGGTCCGTGTGGTCCAAGGCACTGTTGAAATCTGGTTACAAAGACATACAGCACCAGAGCCACTGGCCAGATTTGGAAAATAATAAATAGAGAAGGCAAAATTCTTTGGGGTGAGAAGGCTGGGCTCTGGAGAGATGCCAAATGGCTTTTCTGAGGATCCAATGTGTTTCTTCAAGAATTTCCATCTTCCTTGTCTTTCCTGGTGCATGCCCAGTCTTCATAGTGTTTGGGAAGGCCAGACACGGACGTGTCCGTTCCCTGCCCCTAGCTTGTTAGGCTGACAGCCTGGCTAGTTTGGAAGAAGTGGGAAGATGTCCAGCTACCATTCTCGGTAGCGGGTGGGGCAGGGGCGGTGGGCGGTGACCACTCTTCTTAGCCGGTGGTGCGGTGAGCGGTGACCACTCTTCTTGGAAGCCTTTGCCCTCAAAGGCCGGCTTCTCCACGCCTGTACTGGTCAGGCTTCTGCTTGCTGAGACCCCTCTCAAAGCAGTGCACATGCCCAGCTTAACCCTGTTTCTCCTCCCCACAACTGCTATGGTCCCACCCGCTGGGAATCCCGTGTAGGAAAACAAGACAGGCAGTGACAGGACTGAGCACCCACAGCCACTGGCGATGACCTGAGCTGGGGCTAGAGGAGAAGTCAGGAGCTGGTGAGTGGTAATCAGGCATGATTGGTCTCAAGATGGGAGAGAATAGGCGTGCATTAGACAGTAAGAACCTTCATGGAGTTGACCTTACCCTGCTCCATTTAGAGCATTTGCTTAGATATAGTAGTGTTGTCCACCCATACCGTGAAAAACAATTGCAGATGGACAGAACAGGAGGACCAGAATGGTCCCATGCAAGTCATGCCAAGGAACCAGATAGAGCATCTACAGATGCAGGCAAACCCTGAAGGGAGAAGCCTACACAAGCTCTCCCTCCTTCATCGTCACCTCGGCATTTCCTGCCTGCTCAAACCCTCAGGAACAATCCCCCAAGGTCAGCTGCAGCCAAGTATGTGGAGCTCCGTGCAACCCCAGAGGGAGCCATGGGAGAAATGGTAGCTGGGAGAAATGGTAGAGGGGGCTCTCCTAGGGGAGGGAAGCATTTGGGTGTAGTCCTTGGTGCAGAACTACTGGGAGCCCAGGTCACTGTCTCTCCAGGACGATGTTTGGGTTGCACCGGGGTTGGCTTTGGGGCCCCTATGCCTGAGCCTGGTGAGGCAATGAAGGAGGTCTTTCTTGGATACCCCCTTACCAGAGCCATACCATAAGCTGGTGGTGATCCAGAGTTCTGGAATCCAGAGATGAATTTGGGGACTGGAAACTTGTAGACAGGATAGAGGTGGCGGAAGAAAAGAGAGGCCCCAGGACTTGCTCTAGGCAAAGGACATATAACTCACTTGCTGGCTCCTGGTCCCTTTCTATACGTGTTCTTCTGGAACTTGCTAGAGCTTATCTCACTACAACACGCAAGGCCTCTAGATCCGTGTTCCATTGAGCTGTCTCTTCAGATAAGAGCCTACAGTCCCTACTGTTGGCTCTCGGGTCCCACTCCACATACTGTATAAGAGGTCGGAGAAGGAATGTGTCTCCTGGATTTTAAAATAGCTCTGTGCCAACATGAGGTGTGGAGAACTGTATCCTCCAGCCTGGGATTTCCTAACCAAAGCCCAGGGCCTACCAGGGATGTCCAAGCTAGTCTTAGAGAGCGATGGCCAGGAGACAGGGCCACAGAGAGAGACAGGGTGAGGATGAATAAAGGGGAGATGAGAGAAAAACCCTCTGTCAGTGTGGGAGACACCTGGTCCAGCCACACACAGCCCCCAGGACCCAGCCCAGGGCTCCCAAACCCAGCTCTCCCAATAACTGAAGTCACTGCTGCTTCTATTCAACTCTCCCCTAACCCCTGTCTCCAGGCCAGCTGCTGTGTGGCCAGTCCCCAGACCCCAAGTCAATAATTTAGCCTGTTTATCGCCCGCTCACGGGTGACCTCCGGGACCTGAGTCCCCGATCGCTTGCGGTTGCGCTTGAACTTGCTTAAGTCCTTGTCAAAAACTTCTCCAGAGCGCAAGGCCGACACCAGGTCATCAAACTCGCCGCTCTCCTCCAGGGAGCCGCCCGCCAGGACCTTCCTCTGCCTCTGCCATCGCTCTTTCTCACGCTGCTCCTTCAACTGAGAGTGGAACGGAGAGGTGACCCCAGTGCCCGTACCCTGGACATGCTTCTCCCGCCAGGGGCTACTCCCTCTCCTCAAGGTGCCCCACCCGCCCCGCCTTACATGGATTTCTGCCTCCAAGCTGGGAGCTGCTTCTTTCTTCCGAGGCTAACAGTGGCCCCTAAATTGTGCCCAGCTCCTACTTTATCTCACGTAATGCAAGCATCCTCCCCTCACACCCACCTCTGCATCCTGCCCCAGCCAGGCCCAGCCCTCACCATGGATTCCATGCGCGCCCTCCGTTCATCGTCTTCCTTCCTCCTCCTCATGGCCTCCAGGTCCTGCCGGGCCTCCAAGAAGGCTTGCAGGAAGGTGTCGAAGATGCCAAAGAACTCGTCTGGCTGCATCTTACTCTCCTGCTCCCCGAAGTGCATCAGTGCCTTGGCAAACTGTCGAGGACACAGAGGTGTGGTGAGCCCAGGCCTGCAGTCAGCCAGCTGTGTCCCAGCTGAGCCCAGTCCAAGCTGGGGGCAGCAGGGCGGGGGTTGTAGGCATGGGGACAGATGGTTCAAACCCCAGGGTTCACACATGGGAGCCTCAATCCAAATTCACTAGGTCACTAGGGATTCATTCTTTGTCCCTACCCTGTTATTTCCCCCCGAAAACCATGGGGGGGGACTTCCGGGGAGATGAGTTGAGTCTACCCGATAGTCTACTTGTATGCCACCTCTGGGTCTTTTATATTGTGAGATCAGGAGATGGTGACCTGGGGAGGACTTATCTAAAGTCAGCCACTGCCTGCCTGGAATGGAAAGGGATCTCCCATGCCATCTAACCACTGGATCACTTAGTCAGTGGGTGACTTAGTTAGCCCCTCTGAGACTCAACTTCTTCGCCTGTAAAATGGGGATCAGCTTCGTGGTGTTATTGTGGGAGTCAAGTGGGGTGACAGACAGAAGCAACAGGCTCTGTGTTCATGAAGCAGGCACCACTCTGCCTTTGTCCGAGCGCTATGTTCTCTTGCCCGGCTCACAAAATACCTTCTAGGGAACGGCCCCACCCAAATGGTCCTCCTGGGACCAGCAGCCTGCGCACCTGCTGGGAGTCTGCTGGAAATGCTGGCTCTCCAGGCCTCCTCCCCCTGGGTCTTCTGAATAAGAGGTCACACGTTAAAATGAACCCCACATGGGTCCATTTGCATCCTCACAGAAGCAGGTAGAGTGCCAGCAAGTTGGTGGGCGGGCGTGCTGGGCCACCTTTACCTTATCTCTGGCCTCATTGAGCTGGTCCTCCAGCTCTGAGAAACTGAAGCTGGACACTGTGATGAAGTCACTCATGACAGGGACAAACTTGTCATTGGGGTCCTGGGCCTGGTGTCTTTGATATTCCAGCTCCTGGGGAGGGAGGATAAAGCGCGATTTAGGCGGGTGGAGTCCAGGCACCATACACTCCTTGCTGGCCACAGGACGTAGCACCCGTCTTTGGAAATATGACACCTGGGTTCACAGTTCTGAAGATAATGGAGGCTTTGAGAGCTGTTGATCTGTTCAGCTCTTCATATCCTTCCCTAACCATCAGGACCATTGTCCTTTCGTAATGGCTTTTGAATGATGCGTGTGTTAGGATCTAGGCATTATGTTGGCCCTCCCCCTGTCAGTCAACAGGACATACCCACCAGCATTCAGGTAAATACTTAATCAGCCTGGGGGGTCCTATGGCCACATGTCACTATGTCATGCGCTGCGTGGCTACATCATGTGTTGTAAGGCTCTGTACATGTGTGCACAGGTTCCCTTGTAAGCAAACTCTGCCTGCCCCTCACTCACTCTCTCCTTACTTCCCTCCTCAGGGGATCACCACAGCTCCCTCTCTCACCCCCTCCAATACATGGGCTTGTTGTACTCTGTAACGCATTTCTTAACAATGCCACTAAACAACTACAGTGTTACCAGGGTTGACCAGCATTGTCTGGGAAGTGCTGCTGGGCTGTGAGCCACACAGGACCATCAAAACGGAAGCCCTCACCCATGATAGCAGCAGAAGGTTCTCTAATTCTAAAGTTCAGCCTGAATCAGTTCTGCTCCTACCGCCTCCCCCACTTCCTTCATGGGAATTCTGGGAATTCCCAGGTGTCCCAGAGACTGCATCAGCCATGAAGACACGAGAACAGCAATGGCAGTAACAGGACCAGAGACCCAGTGCTGGGATCCAGTGTTTGCATCCTCTCAATAACCCTGTATTGAAATCCTAACCCTACAGCAAAGCCAGGAGGTGCATTCAAATGTTTGACACTATGACACGATGCTGTCATCTACAAGGTGCATACTTGAGACGTGTACAACCAAGTTATGAAAAGATAATCATAAAAATTCATAACATCTTAAGTACGTTTGTGGTTTCATGTCAGCCCCCCCCCCCCCATTCGTAGCTCTCCTGAGACACGTGTGGCCTAAGGGTCATGGGTTGGACACTCCTGTCAAGTGACGAGGTCTTCAGGGCAGAGTCTTTGTATAGCTACCCTATTCTAGCAGGTGAGGACACAATGAGAAGGCCCCACCCATGAAGACCAGGCCCTCTCTGGACATCACACCTGCCCGCACTTTGATCTTGAGTGTCCCACCCCGCCAAATTATACGAGGTAAATGTCTTTTGTTTCTAAAAGCCACCCCCCCATTGATGGACTTGTTTTAGCCCCATCAAGGAACTAAGATACCAGAGTTCTCATCAGAGAGAGAATGAGCCTTCAGGTCCACAAGGGAAGGGAAAGATGTAAGGTAGGGTTTCGTGGAGACAGTGGCCCCCACTGCCACACTGTTCTACGCCTCCTGTCACCAGCTCAGCCTCTGAATCCACTGTGGTCAAACACAAGCTTGGGCCAGTCCTAGGGTTCAGTCCACCATGCGAACATCTCCCTGCTCAGTGGGTACAGACAATCTCAGACAGACAGCCCTTCCGTAGGGGTCTAAATGCAAACCCCAAGAAGACGGATCACTTTTCCCTGAAGGCTCTGTCCACTGCAGCTGTCCTACCTTTCCATCCAGGAGCCCTGGGCCTCAAAGTTCATCACATGGGGCTTCTGCTGTCTGAGATGTGGGGGAAGGGGCACTGGGCACAGTGATGGTAGCAACACTGGCTTCTCCTTGGGAAGCCTCCACTCAGGCCCAGCAGGCTCACTTACCACTTCCACTGCTCGGAGGCCCCTCCTGAGAGTGCCCACCTCCTTCTCCAGCTCGGCCAAGCTGTGGGGAGACAGAGAGGAAAGACCCCATGAGCTCTGAACGTGGAGAACCAAGGGAAAGGGCAGACTGAGGCATGGTGGCCTTGTGTCCCAACCCTTTAGATCCCTGATACACGGCTCCAGCAGATCACCACCGTATGTTCCTGTTGCTGTGTCTGTACAGGGTCAGGGTGACAGCTTTTCTCCATGGATCCTTCCAGATGCTGTGTATCACATAGTTCCTGTGTGTGTGTGTGTGTGTGTGTGTGTGTGTGTGTGTGTTTGTACATGCACACTCATGTGGGACTCAGTGAACAATTTCAGGCACCTATCTTAGGAGCTGTCCACTTTTTTGTCTGCTTGGGTTCTAGGTGTGGCAGTCAGACCCTCATGCCACCTGCTGCATCATCTCCTAAGCCCTATCAAAAGCTTTCTCACATAGCATCTGGCTACTTGATTACTTCTTTTCATCAGCATTGGGCAGTGTCATCGTCATTTAGCAGGGTGTTTCTCCAAAACCCTAGGTTGGTGGTATTTAGATGCTGCTGCCACACTGTAGTGAACCAATTAAGTAGACTGTGGCACCGTGCTCTTGGACTTCCAATCCTCCAGAGCCACGTGTCAAATACGCTTCTACTTTTTGTAGTGACCAAGTCTCAGGTGTTTCGTTATAGCACAGCATCTCTTGCACACAGTGGCATTGGGTACCCTGTGAGCTTTAGCGTTTCTGGTTTCCCCAGAGCACGGATTACGTCTGACAGCCTTCACAGATGCTGTGGATGGCCTGCCCATTACCTGTGAAGGTCCCCATTCTTCCAGCCGACCATGGTTTAAACGTGCACTTATTTTTAAATTTATGTCATGTGAGTGAGTGTTTTGCCTATATATAAGTCCCTGTGTCATACGCGTGCCTGGAGCCTGAGGAGGCCAGAAGAGGGTACAGGATGCCCTGGAACTGGAGTCATAGATGCTTGTGAGCCTCCATGTGGGTGCTGAGATTTGAACGGGGGTCCTCTGGAAGAGCGGGCCATGCTGTTAATCATAGAGTCATCTCTCCAGCACCCAGCCTAGTGTTCTTTATTCTGGGTCAGCCCCATCTGCCTGTTAGAGTGATGTTCACACCCCAGGACACTTAGTGTGCTGCATAACTAACGCGCTTCCCTCACCCCACCATGGGATAAGCAGAGGGAGTGTGTTCTATTCTATACTGCTTCCCTCTTAGGCGTAAGTTCCAGTCTGAACAGTGCAACTGACTCAATAGCACATCTGTTACAGGCAGTCTTTCTATACATGGCTTACTTCTCCATTCTTCTGGTATCTTCCAGAGCCACCTCTGAAATAAGATGATTTGCACCTCAGAGAGCAAGTGGTCTCTGCCTGGTCCTTCTGAAAGCACACCCTGAGACACTGCCCGTCCCCAGTGTTTGCTCAAGTGAGGTCACAGGCAAAGGAAGCCCGGAGGGCCGCTTACTTGACTTTGGCGGCTTCTGACAGGTGCCGCAGCTCCGACGGCATGTTCAGGATGTCGGGGAAATGTTTCTCCAGGATCATGATCAGGTAATGAAGCAGAGAGATGTTCCTGTGGGTGACAGTCGTCTCAGCGGGGGTGGGGGGCGATGAAACCAGATGGAATGTGTTAAGAGGAAAAGACAAGGAAGAGGCTGGAGAGATGGCTCAGCAGTTACCAGAGCTGTCTGCTCTTCCAGAGGTCCTGAGTTTGGTTCTGAGCATCCACAAATGCCTGTAACCCCAGTGCCAGGGTATTCAGTGCCCTCTGCTGGCCCCACAGGCAACTGCATGTACATGGGCACACACACACACACACACACACACTCACACATGCACACACTCACACATACACATTCACACACACACACAAACCACACTAAAATAACTCTTTAAAATACTTTAAAAATGGACAAAACAGCCAGCACAGAGCGATAGAAGAGGGTTAGAAGGGGCGGGGGGATGGCCGAAGAAGCCCATGAGTCCCCACCTGTCAATGCTGGACTTTGTGTCAGCAATCTTGTTGAGACTGGCTACCCGGAACCCATAGGCGCCCCCACGCTGCCCCTTGTTCATGAAGTTACCGATGGCTAGGACCACCTCCAGCATCTGCTTCAGACGCTTGCTGAGGGTCAGCTCCCGGGAGGCCAGCAGGATGGCTGGGAGAAGAGAGACAGCTTAGGATGCTGCACGGGGCAGTCATCAGGGCTCCTGGCTTCTCAGGAGGGTTCTAGAAGGGGTTACTGCTGGGTAGAGACTACTGGGTTCTCTTCAGGACACTGCATTTCTCACCCCTCCCCCCAGCCCGCCCTCACCCCCTGAGCCAGGACAAAGCTAGCCTACCCTCAGGGTAGACAACCCCTAGAATGATCTGGACTATTTTATCATGAACATGAAGATTATTACACTTTTTATGAATATATACTTGAATATGGCAGTTTTATCTTTCTTGACCAAACAAATTCTGTGCTTCCTGGAGCTTTTTATTATGGGATTGCTTTGACACATTTTGAAATCCTGTACTGTGTATGTGCATACATGTTCATGTGGGTGTGCAGGTGTGTATATTCATGAGTAGGTAGGTATGTGCACGTTGGATGTGGAGGTCAGAGGTCCTGTGGAACCATCCTCAGACAACACCTCGGGTTCTGACACAGCGGTAAGAAGGCCAAACCACCTGGTGGCCTCTGGCTATGCGGAAGAATCTTGTTATGAAAATAAAACAAAAGCCCTCAGGGCTCCCTCAGTGGGGGGGAGCACTTGTTATAAAAGCAAGAGGACCCGAGTTCAAGTCCTCAACACCTCCAAAAACAGCCAGGCCTAGCCACGTGTGGGGCTGTAACTGCAGTGCTGGAGGGGGGACACTGCAGACAGGAGGATTCTGGGAGCTCCCCAGCCTGCCAGTCAGCCCAAACAAGCCTCAGATACAGAGAGACTGTTTCCAAAGCCACGATGGAGACAGGTGTACATCTGACGCCCTCCTCTGGCATTTGCATGCACATGCGTGTGCACATGCCACACACACAACAGACACAAACACTTATCACATAAAAAAGAAAACCCCAGGCCCAAAGTCTGCAGGAATTTCCAGTCAGATAAAGAAATATAAGAAACTAGGTATTATAAGAATGAGAAGTGAGAGTTGTCCACATAGCCTTTAGGAGACACATATGTACATTCTATGAGCTAACACGCCCTGTTATGATTGCATATTTAGGTACATGCCTGCATGTGTCTGTTTACATGTGCATGCATCTGTGTAGAAGCCAGACATTGGCTTCAGGTGTCTTCCTAATCATGCTACCCCTTAGTTTTTGAGACAAGGTCCCTCGGTGAGGCTGAGGCTTGACCCTTTCACTAGCTCACCTGGGAGGCTCAGGGACCCTCCAGGCCACATCCACAGCACGGGGGTCCAGGCATGCTGCTATGCCTACCTCTCATGATTCTGAAATGTGGGTTCTAGAGGATTGAACTCGGGTCCTCATGCTTATATGGCAAGCACTTAATCAGCTTAGCCGTCTCCCCAGCTCCCTCTAGGCCAGTTTCTTAAAATTACAAACCAGAAGAGGTAAATGACCCTATAATGGAATAAAATGCAGCACTGAAAGCTGAACCCCACTCTCCACATCGGGAAATTTCAAAAGTGCAAGGCTAAGCTACGGTGCAGCAATATCATCCATGTCCCAGAGCCACCATCTTCAGGAGGTCAGTTGTAATGGCTTGTAAATGACCGCTCCAGCTGAGTTGGTGGCCTCATAAGAAGTAGCAGGCAGGGACCTGCCCTCCAGACCCTTATATGCCATTTCCTCCTAATTGCCACATGGCCCTGGGGTCCAGAGATGGGGGTGATAGAGTACATAAACTGGGGACTTAGGTGAATGGCCCCATCTCTGCAGTCATGGGGAAGCCACCATCCATGCTGGCCACAAACTTTCCAATGTGACTTGAGGTCACTAATACTCCTATCAGTAACCCCTCATTGGTTCCCCAGGGGGAACTTTGGTGGACTCTGTCTTTGGTCTGTCACTGGGGCCTTAGAAAGTGGGAGGGCAGACATTGCCTCGCTCAACAGCTCCCACCACCCTAGGGGGAAATTCTTAAGACATAAGCAAGAGAAGCCATCATAAAATAACTCAACACATTATTCCATTTATAGAAAGTTCAAAATAGAAAAACTCATCTCTGAGTTTGAGGCCAGTCTGGTCTACTGAGTGAGTTCCAGTACAGTCAGAAATACACAGAGAAACCCAGTCTCCAAAACAAAACAAAACAAAAAACTCAATATTTAGCTGGGCAGTGGTAGCACACGCCTTTGATCCCAGCACTCAGGAGGCAGAGGCAGGTGGATCTCTGTGAGTTTGAAGCCAGCCTGGTCTACAAAATGAGTTCCGGGACAGCCAAGGCTATACAGATAAATCCTGCCTCGAAAAACTTAAAGGAAAGAAAAAGAACTTACTTGCAAAAATCCTCAGCCACCTATATGGCTACAGAGAGTTTTCTAAGGTTGGTGTGCTGTTTAAAAAATCTTCAAAGGAATATCCTTTAAAAATGCTAAAAATGTTGGCAAACAGAAAATGATGAGCGGTGAAGGGAAATCAGAGCAGATGAGAAAACTTCCATCTGTGATGCTGACATCTCAGAGGCATTCACAAGAATAATATGTTCATGAATACATTCATAAGAATATTACATTTGCAGTCACATTCATCCAGGCTATATTTAGTGAGTCTACTTATAATGAGAATTGGTAAATTTAGTATACTCAGCAATGAATGTATTCATAGGGATAATATATCCAAAACAGAATTGGGAAATTTGTTAAACTTGGTAAAATGCACTAAAGTAACTTCACCTGGAGCCCTGTCTCGGGGAGGAGAGGGTGGGTGTCAATGGCTCCATCTTAGCTACCTTGGGAATACTTTTGGGAGAGCTAGAAGGAGGACTAAAGATGGAGCCCAGCTCCTGGACAGTCGAGGACAGTGGCATGACTGTGTTTGTTCTTTCAGGCCACCCTTCCCAACGTAGGCCAAAGCCCGTCAAGGACGGCGGCCATTTATAGTGAAGGGATGTCTACAAATCTGGACTCCAGCCATATGAGTGTGATGTCCCCACAGATGTTCTCTCCAGCACACCTTCTTCTGTGAAGTTTGATATTAAAGAGGGTCCTGGTTGAGGCTTAGCACTTGGGCATGTCTCCTTCGGTACCTCTCCATGGGTATGTCTACTTGGGCATGTCTCCTTGGGTACCTCTCCTTGAGCACATCTCCTTGGGCATGTCTCCTTGGGCACGTCTCCTTGGGCACATCTCCTTGGGCATGTCTCCTTAGGTATGTCTCCTTGGATATGTCTCCTTGGAGTACATGACAGTCTAAGATGAAACCTTCCCAGAGTCTAAGCTAGGCTGGTTCCATAGTTCCAAATGGCCACTCACTTTTGCCCCACTGACCTAAGAGGCATAAATAGTTGAACATCTACACCTTGGTCTCTGGCTCATGTCCACAAAGTAGTTTGCAATAGAAAAAGATTGGAGGTGAAAAGGCCTTGCTGGTCATCGGGGAAGGACATACCCCAGATGGATAATCTATTCTTTATTACGGTATGAAGGTCCCTTGTTGAATACACATGTGTGTACATACTGAACACCGCTCCCTTTATCTCTACAAACTCCCATTCCAGAAATTCCTAAGCAGCCTTTGGGACAGACCAGAGCTGCTCTCAACCTGCTCTCTGAACCAGGCATCTGACAGAGTGTCCAGCAGGGGGCACCCATGCTCTGCTATGCCTCCAACTTGGCACCCTGAGCATCCAAGATGGTTTCCTGCTCTTTCTGCTCTGCAAGTCTTCTCCTTACCCCCAAGTGAGGCCCCAACCAGTTTCTGCCTTGCTGGGTTCACATATCTGCCCACCATCCTCCCCTCCATTTCCCCCCACAACTCCTTGAGTCCTGCTCCTCCGCCATCCCCATAGGTAGCCCCAAGGACATACTCTCCGACACAGTGAGTATGGGATGAAGGGTAATGGACCAGTTGGAAGGGCGTGTGCACTGCCACAACACTCCTCACAGCTCTCGGAGATGGCACTCTGGAGAAGACTCTGCGTCGAGACAGGCACCTCTAGGGTCTATGTGGTTGCTGGCTTTCTGATGAGCTCAGACTTAAGCAAACGTGCCCACTAGACTTTGTGAACTTGGGGCTCCTCGAGTAGGAAATGGTGGATGAGTCTGCATGCCAGGCTCCAGCAAGGGTGCTGGCCACATTCCTTTCCTGGGCTTTCTGTCCCAGGCTGGGTCAGAAGTCAAGGGATGCCCCACCCTGAGGAGCCTATGCAGAGGCTGAGGGAAGCATCACATGGTTGGCACAGAAGCCAACCTAGGTAAGAACGTTTCTCTATAATGAGCATACTTCAAGTTGCTGGTGCATTCCTGTAATCCCATCACTTGGAAGGTGGAGGCAGGAAGATTAGGATCGCGAGGCTAGCCTCAGCTAAACAGTAATCTGGAAGCTAGCCCAGGCCACATGAAATCCTACTGAAAATGAAAATGCTTTAACTGTTATCATTAACTTGGGTATGTCTCTGGGGTCGGGATAAGGCAGAAATTTCCCTCTGCCCCACTTGCCAATCCACAACCGTGTCCCCACTCCAGGTGAGCATTCCAGGTGAGCACTCCAGGTGAGCATCCAGGCCCCAGCCTTACCTTCTACTTTGGGCTTGGCCTCTGCCAGCCGTTCCTGGAACTTCTTCTTGAAGAAGAGGGCCTGTAGTCGCTGCTGGTAGTGGTCAATCCTATGGACCGGGCAGGCTGTGTCACAGGTGGACCCACGACTCCAAGGCAGCTCTAGCCTCCTCTGAGGCCATCCTTCCCTCCCCTTCTTAGGCAGGCAGAGTGGCAACCTGACCACTGCTGGTCCTGCTGTGCCCAGTGCTCCATTGGTAGAGCCGGGCCCTGAATCCCCGCCCTTTGGCTAGGCCTGGTGTCCCATTGGTAGAGCCGGGGCCTTGAATCCCCGCCCTTCTGCTATGCCCGGTGCCCCATTGGTAGAGCTGGATCCTGAATCCCCGCCCTTCGGCTATGCCCGGTGTCCCATTGGTAGAGCTGGACCCTGAATCCCCGCCCCCGCCACGCCCGGTGCCCGTCTGACCGGCTCATTTCGTAGAGGAAGCGGTCTGCACGCGCCATCCGCTCAATCTCATGCTTGTGCTCCTCCAGGAGGTCAATGTCGCTCTTCTCAGGGATGAACTTGAGGAGCTGCAAAGAGCAGGTGCGAGTCAGATGGGAAGCTGTTGAGCAGTGCATACAGTGTGAGGTGTGGAGAAGCCCATGAATCGCCTCTGCTCAGTATGGGGAGGTAAGGGTTCAAGGCCAGCCTGGGCTACAAACCAATTTCCAGGTGACACCCGCTGTCCCATTGGTAGAGCTAGACCATGAATCCCCACCCTTTGGCTATGAGCTACCTAGACAGTTAGGCCAACCTGCTCTCTCTACACATTAATTTTGAGGTCGGCCTGGCTTCGTAGCGAGCTCAAGTGTTTTCCAAAAGTATGTAAGTGCACCATTTTGGTGCAGTGCCTGAAGAGACCAGAAGAGGGCATCCGATCCCCTGGAACTAGAGTTGTGAGCCTCCATGTGGGTTCTGGAGACTAAACCCCCAGACATCAGTAAGAGCAGCCCATGCTCTTAACCACCGGCACCTCTCCAGCCTTTGTGCTATGGTTTGGAAGTGTCCTTCTGAAGTTCACACATGGAAACTTCCAAATTAATTTCATCTGGCAGTAGAACCTTTGTGGGGGGTGATTAGGGTTGGATGAGGTCACAAGGGTGGGGCCCTAGTAGTGTCATTAGTGGCCTCATAAGAGAAAGAGAAACCCAGGTTACCACATCTTCTCTGTCTCCTCCCATGATGCCCTCTACAATGCTTTGGTACGGCAAAAGATCTCACCCAGATATGGCACTATGCTCTTGGACTTTGGCAGCCTCCAAAGCAACGAGCCAAGTAAAGTCTTATTTATAGATTAGCTGGTCTGGGGTTTCTTGTCAAAACCACAGAAAATGAGCCAAGTCACTATGTTTAATTTGCATCTGGCTGCTTCACTCAGCATCTGAGATTCATCCATGCTGTGTATCCCTAGTTTGTCTTTATTTACTGCTTACTAGTATTCCACCGAAGGGGCGTACCACAGTCTGTTTATCCATTTTGCTATTAAGGATCGGTTGGGTTGCTCACCCATTGGGAGCTTTAGTAAGTTGCTACAGTTATATCTGTATATGTCTTTTAATGTTTATATCGGCCTTTCATGTGTAGCTAAGTGTGAGATACCTGGGCACCAGGGCAGATGTACGTTTAGCCGTCACACGCATTCCAGATAGCTCTGCAAAGTGAGCCGGATGGGAATTCCAGTTCTGCCACACCCTTGTCAACATGTGACGCCTGTCAGTCTTTGGCTGCAGCTCATGGGTGGGCGTGTGACACTCCTCTGCTACGCTTCGCTGGGTGTCTCTGGCGACTACTGACATGTGGGGCCTTTTGTGTGCTCTCGGGCTGCCAGGGACCACCTTTCACAAAGCTCCTGTTCCAAAACTGGGGCTTCTGTCTCTTTCTCACTCATCTGTAGTGGTCCTTACTACAAGTACATGCCATTTGCTCTACGCCCTTGTATGTCTGCTTGAAAAACACTGTCAGCACTTTGGCTTGTCCTTAACCGAGGAAAAGCGCATGTCTCTGGGTTCTCACTCACTCGTTTTCTTCTCTTTTTAGATTTTGTATTTTATTTTAAATTGATGTGCATGGATGTTCTGTCTGCGTATCACGTGTGTGCCTGGTGCCCGCAGAGCCCCTGAAACTGGCGTAATGTGTGGTTGTGAGCCAGCATGTGGGTGCTAGGAAATGAACCCGGGTCCTCTGCAGGGGCAGCCAGTGCCTTAACTGCTGAGCGGTCCCTCCAGCAAGCAGCCCCTTAACTGCTGAGCCATCCCTCCAGCAGCCCTGCTCCTCTGCTGAGACAGTCTCATGAAGCCCGGCTGGCCTCGAACCCAGGTCTGGGATTATCGATGTGCGCCACCACACCGTCTTGGGATGGAACCCAGGACGCCATGCACGCTTGATAACCGCACGCTCGTTTCAGTGAAGTTCAATTGGCGGCTTGCCACTTCCCAGGTCCTTCTTCAAGGACACAATGGGTCAAAGTGGAAGAGATCTGAGGAGGAGGTGGCCATTGCCACCCCACTCATCCTGGAGACCTTGTAGGGGCCGCAGAGTTCTCTGGCAGCTTGTTCTGGAGGAGAGCATTGTCCAGGGAAGTTTCTGGAAGCCTCAGTGCTTCCAGCTTCATGCCTCTTCAACCCAAGGATTTCACCCTTTCTGGGATGGGGAGAAAGTGGTGTGGCTGCCCGGGCTGGGCTCCTCTCCTCCCCGAGGGGCCTCACCTGCTCCAGCATGTCTTTAGCTAGGTCTTCTTGTTCGTCCATCCTCAGGATGGCCTGCCGTATCTCCTCGTTCGAAAGCTTCAACCTGCGACAAACACGCCCTGAGCAGCCTGGCCTGGCCACTACCTTCTCTTCTCTGGCCCCAATGCAAACCCTCTCTCTTCCCTTCTCCCTCCTCCCTCCCTCCTTCCTCCTCTCTCTTCCCTTCTCCCTCCTCCCTCCCTCCTCCCTCCTCTCTCTTCCCTTCTCCCTCTTCCCTCCCACCTCCTCCCTCCTCCCTCTTCCCTCCTCCACACAGCCTTCCCAGACCAATTTCATAATAGAGTCTAATTTTAATAAAGAGGAAACCCGATGCACTCCATATGTTCAATAGTGAGTGTTTTAGTTCTCATCGAAGCCTGATTCCCTGATGCCTTGCTTGGGCTTCCTCAGGGCTGATGAGACACGTGGGATTAGGATGGACAGGCAGAGGCATTCTGGAAGACCTTTTTCCTCCTCCACCCCTCCCTCCCGCCTCACACATCTTCAGCCTCTCCATGGGAGGACAGAGCACGGTGCCAGCGGAACTCTGGGAGAACAGTCTCGCTCCAGCATCTGACAGTGCCCAGTTCCCACTCAGCTCCCATCAGTCTTCCAGGAGCCCCTCCTCACCACCTACAGCGCTCTTCTCTGCCCGTCCACGCACACACTCACACACACTCACACACATACACACTCACACACACTCACACACACATAACACTCACACACTCTCACACACACTCACACACATACACACTCTCACACACTCACACACATACACACTCTCACACACTCACACATACACATACGCACACTCACACACACACACACACACACACACACACACACACACACACACACACCAAGAATGCTAGGGAACCAGCCCTCCTCCACCACTCCAGGGCAGAAACTCAGGCCAGGGAACTTGTGGGAGGGCAGAGGGGGCAGATGTCCCAGAGGAGGCTGTAGGAGGCACTAAGAATAGAGCTCAGGGCGGTGCCCCTGACCTTGCCTGGGGGAGGCCCCCACACAGAAGCTGCGTTGTTAATACAGATACTGCTTGTTTGTTCCAAAGCCCAGGGAAATGCTTGAAGGCTGACATCATGCAGCTCCCAGGCCTGAGCCGAGTGGGCCCCTAGTGGGCTGACAGGGACAGGGTAGTTGCCTGCCTAAAGAGCTCCGTGCTGCTGCTCAACGTGAGGTTGCAGGACAGTGGTCTTCAGCACCCATCCCCTCCCCTCTGGGGAGGCCAGAGAGGCAGAGCCAGCCGGCACCTTTCCTCCGCAGCGTTCCAGGGCCTGCAGCTCTGCCATGGTGCTTGCTGATTTGCAGTGCTCTGGATGACACGTGGTGCAGGACCGCTACCACGGAGTTATCCCAATCTCAGCCCCCTTACCGCCCACTCTGGGCTTCTCCTGGGGTGCCGTTCCCTGCTGCAAGCGAGCACTTACTTGGAGAGAAGAATGATACAGTTCTGGGCCCTCCTGCCATCGATGACTGACAGCTCTTTGACTTTGCGGGAGGTCAGGTAGATGTCCTCTGTGGAGCCCAATTCTTTCTGAAAGGATGAGTGAAACGGGGAGTACTGAGGCAGGTTCTCCCAATCTCCTTGCCCACCTTCCAGATCCACCCTTCTTTCAATGTGGGGATGCCCCTGACCCAGTGGACATAGAGAAAAAGCAGAGGGGAGAGGCAGGGTGTTTAACCACCGGCTCTCATGAGAGGACCTAGTCTGGGCTAGGAGGGATGGAGGGTAGCAAAGGGTCCCCCCTCTTGGAACTCAGTCTCTCTTGGAAGCCCAGTAAAGGAGCTGTGCAAATGGAAGCCATAATTGATCTCTGTGGCTTCAGGCAATATGGTGTTGCCTATGATACACCCACACCTGCCCAGAAGCCTCCCTAAGCTTGTAAAGGGAAGCTGATCCAAGCACCCAGAAGGCCATAGTTTCTAACTCCTGGAGACTTCCAGACTATTTCAATATCCCGGGACTATAGGGTTTTCTAAGATCATATGGGAAACCAGAGGCAGAATCTCTACTGAACTCCCTTCTGGGATGCTAGTAGACACAGTCAAAGCTCCCAAACCTCCTGCTGTTGAACCTCCCCAACCAGGGACTCAGGAGCCTGTTTAGCACACAGCTATGACTCTAGGGACATTCTCAGTGCACATGTTCCAAGGCACACAACTCCAGGGCCTGCCAGGCATGCCGTTATCTGTGGATTTTCCCTCTGGAGTTGTGTGGTGCCCAACATGTGTAGTCATGCTGGAAAGCCTTGCCTTGGGACTGGTAGATGACGCCATAGACCTAGAGGTGTTCTCCGTTCTGCGGACATTCGCCTCTGCGGCTGGCAGAGGTCTGCTCGCAGTCCCCCGATCTCTCACATTGCCTCTCTCTCTCTGGGGACCCTCCTGCATGCCACCCTACATGGACGAGTAATAAAGGCTGGAGGCAGTGCAGGCAAGCCTTCTCTCGTGGACCCAGTGCCGGGCTGCCGCCCAGGACAGTGGGTGAGACACGGAATGTTCGGAGCGAGACTCACCTGCTGAAAATCATATTAGTTATCAGCTCCTAGGCAGGCAGCAGCCACAGCCATCAGAGTTAACACATGCACAATGTTAGTCAAGAGGCTGGGGACTCAGGAACACCAAGACAAATGTGGGCATCCTTGGTATCTAGTCTGTCCACCACGCTCCAGGAACAGGAGACAGGAACCCAGAGACAGGCCTGGGCAGCAGCTCGAGGCAGGCATGCACTCAGGGAAACTGGGCAGCAAGCACCAAGCGGCCACTACTTTGGGACCAGGGAGGTGCCCAGTTGAGCCAAGGAGTCCCCAGACTTTGAGCACTAGTTCTTTCTTTGTCCCTGCTGAGAGGACAGGGGGTGTTCCTCCATCCAGGGGAATTCCTCTTTATCAGAACATGAATTTGAACCAAGAAGCTAGTGAAAATCCTGATCTCCGGGGCAGGAAAACCAGGCAGCCTTGGATTTGTCCCTTCCTTTGCCTTTCTGATGTCTAAGGGGACCGAGGAGCATGGCTTGTCCTGTGTCTTTCTTCCCGACACTGATGGAGTTGAAGCCACAAGCTCAGAATCTACACAGAGAGGACTCAGGCCCTTCTCTGCCCCATGGCTCAAGACCCTAAACCCCTTACCACAGAGAGGCGGTAAGTAACCAGGCCACTTTGGCCTCTGGGATTGCTCTAACTTGACTCCTGTGACTTCGGTCCTGGGTGCTGATGTGAGTGAGGCTCAGCTGAGCTGTGAGGGAGTGGGCTCAGCAGCATGAAGCGGGGAGATCAGATGATGTCCAGACTTAACCCTTCTGAGGAAGGCGGGAGGCCTTAGCCCCATATGGACTCTTTCCTGACTGTCTCCCAACCAAGCTCGAGGCCTTGGAGTCCGGAGAGACCAGTCCAGAATCCCATCACAAATGAAAGAGGCATGGGCTTGCCATGCCTGAGACATCCATGCACCCCATCCCATCTTACTCAGGGCACAGGTGTTCCCATGACTCTCCCTACAGCTTGACCACTACCCTGACCATGCCAGCTAAGCCACAGCATGAGATAAAACACTGCTTGGAATTAAGAGTAGAGGATCAGATGTCACAGACACCCACATTTAAATCAAATAAATCATCATTTATTTCATCTTGAACCCAAGAGGGGCCAGAGTGTCAACTCCGTTTCATTCCTTTGGCCAGGCCATGAGCCCGTGGCCCTGCCTGCCCTGTGAAGAGTCATCTCCAGGTCTAGACTTGGAAAAAAAGCAAAGTAGGGCACCCTCTGAATACTGTTGGAGGCGGGCCTCAGCATCTAGCAACCAACCAGGACTCAGGGCCCCTGAGTATACCAGAAGTCCTCAAAGCCGGAGTCCTGGGCCAAGCAGAGATGAAGGAATGAATTGCAAACCTTAGACGACATGTATAGGAGGCAAGGGCCATAGAACCCCTGAGCTGGTCATCACCAAGTGGACCTGGGGCATGTCCCCAGGCATGACAGTTGCACTCAGATTCCAAACCCCCACCCGTCTTCAGTGTTGCTCAGCATTGGAAGATGAGGCCTGACAATCGGTACCCTGGCAGTCCCTATAAGTGCTCATCATTTTATACCAGTATCTGGTGGCGAGCCAACCCCCTTCCAGTCTCTGTGGCCAAGTATACAGAGACTCAGCAGAGCAGAGCAGAGCAGGCCCCAACCCCAGTCTCCATCCTCAGAAGAGACATGGGGCAGCATCTGTCACCTTCTCTACAGCCTTAACTTCTCTGTAGGTGGCTGTGTGTGTGTGTGTGTGTGTGTGTGTGTGTGCCTGTAAGTATGTAAGTGTGTGTATGTGTGTGTGTTCAAGTGTGCATGTGTGTGCCTATAAGTGTGTGTGTGTGTGTGCCTGTAAGTATGTAAGTGTGTGTATGTGTGTGTGTTCAAGTGTGCCTATAAGTGTGTGTGTGTGTGTGCCTGTAAGTATGTAAGTGTGTGTATGTGTGTGTTCAAGTGTGCATGTGTGTGCCTATAAGTGTGTGTGTGTGTGTGTGCCTGTAAGTATGTAAGTGTGTGTATGTGTGTGTGTTCAAGTGTGCATGTGTGTGCCTATAAGTGTGTGTGTGTGTGTGTGCGCCTGTAAGTATGTAAGTGTGTGTATGTGTGTGTGTTCAAGTGTGCATGTGTGTGCCTATAAGTGTGTGTGTGTGCCTGTAAGTATGTAAGTGTGTGTATGTGTGTGTTCAAGTGTGCATGTGTGTGCCTATAAATGTGTGTGTGTGTGCCTGTAAGTATGTAAGTGTGTGTATGTGTGTGTGTTCAAGTGTGCATGTGTGTGCCTATAAATGTGTGTGTGTGTGTGTGCCTGTAAGTATGTAAGTGTGTGTATGTGTGTGTTCAAGTGTGCATGTGTGTGCCTATATGTGTGTGTGTGTGTGTGTGTGCGCCTGTAAGTATGTAAGTGTGTGTATGTGTGTGTGTTCAAGTGTGCATGTGTGTGCCTATAAATGTGTGTGTGTGTGTGCCTGTAAGTATGTAAGTGTGTGTATGTGTGTGTGTTCAAGTGTGCATGTGTGTGCCTATAAGTGTGTGTGTGTGTGCCTGTAAGTATGTAAGTGTGTGTATGTGTGTGTGTTCAAGTGTGCATGTGTGTGCCTATAAGTGTGTGTGTGTGTGTGTGTGTGTGTGTGTGTGTGTGTGTGTGTAGGGAATGGTGGGAAAAGTGGGTTGGAAGCTACAGTGGCATCTAGGCATAGCCTATAATTCCTGAACCAAGCAGAACAGTGCTCTACAGAGGCCACGTTTAGGAGTCCACGTCCAATGAGTGAACAGGCTGTGCTGATCCCTCACTGGATGGTGCAGCTTATTTCTCTCTATCCCTGGGCAGGAACATGGAAACTTATTACCAACAAAGTCATTCAGCATACCTGTGAGGAAGGAAAATGAAGAAAGATGGAGAGGAAAAAAGGAAAATTGAGAGAAAGGAGAAGGTTTGAATACAAGGGGTGTGTGTACGCACATGCATGTGTGAACATATGTGTGTGTGTGTGTGCGCGCGCGTGCGCGCACGCACGCGTGCATATGTGAAGACCGAAAGTCAAGATCCAAGAGACCAGAGGGTATGGTCTTACCTGGTGCCTCTGATACGCTGAGAACATTTTTTCAAAATCTTCCAGGTCCAGAATCCGAAATACCTGCGTGTCATCAATCTCATTCCACACGGTACCAGAGACACGATCCTAAGAGCCAGGGTAAGGAGACAAATCCGTGGGTGAGCCAGCTCCCTCATGACAGAGATGCCAACACTTCCCTCACCCCGCCTGTCCCCAAAGGCAGACCAAAGGCTCTCAATTCCAGAAAGGGATCCAATAATCCACCCTCCTCTAACCTCCCACATCTTCAACATTCTAGAAGACAACCTTCCTTCCATGGGGGGGTCCGCAGAAGCGTCTCAGAAACCACCAGAAGCACTGGAGTGTTGAACCCCTGGCTCCTTTCAGAAAGTCACAACCAAAGGCAGTGTTCTGAGGGCGCTGTGCAGGCCTGCCCTCTGACTGCAGTCCCTGCGAGCACTGCGACCCGGCATCTATGGGATTGTCTGGGCTGTGCTACTCCCTGGGTCTGATTGGTCGTTTTCTTTCCCAGGAGCTTGTTCCTACTTTCCCAGATTCCCAGCAAGTGGACACACGCCAAAGCTGGGACACGCTGTGCTCCCTGTAGTGACTCTGCTCAGATCAGCAAAGCTTGCCTCAACTTCCTGTTGCTCAGAGCCAGGGATGGTGCCCCCCATGTAGGATTGCAATGGACCCATAAATTTATAGTTCCCAGCCCCCTTAATTGAGGCAGTGTCCTATGCTTTTGGACCCTTGTGCTATGGAGAGTCTAAGGAGCCCAAACTGCACCAGTAACCTTGGACCATCATGTTGATGGTCCAGGGGACAGGGTCATGGAGGGCAAGCACGGAAGAGGGGAGCAACCCTCACTGTCCACCCCTCCTCCAAGAACCCTTGTCTCATCTACGGCATTAGTCTTTCTTTGGAACAACAATTGCCCAGTCAACTCCTTTCATTTGTCAGGCAACCATTCTAACACCCCTTCCTACATCTCCTCCTCCTCAGATTAGAGACAGTATACCTTTCCCTCACTTCTATTTTCTTAAACTCTGAAAAGGGGAGGCTAGGCCAGAGTCAAGAGGGAGGAGACATTCCTGTGGCCTTCTGAAGGCCAGGGACCCTCAAGTGGAATGCTGGGCTGGGAAGCTCACAGAAGCAAGGGATACAGGCAACTGGCCAAAGCCAACACAGACACATTCTTTTCATGGTGGAAACAACCAGTGTGTGTGTGAGTGTGTGTGTGTGTGTGTGTGTGTGTGTGTGTGTGGTGTGTGTGCATTTAGGAGCATGTGTAGGATAGAGAAGGGGCTAGAGAAAGAAACAGGGCCCCTGGAAAGGAAGATGTGGGGGAAGAGAGAGAGGATGGGAAGGCAGGGAGGGGAGCCAGTTGAAGCAATGGGGGATCTGGGAGCCCAGTGTCTCATGCACAGGGGTAGGGCTAGCGAAGGGTAAGCCCCAGTCCTTTGTGGAAGTCAGAGCAAGGATAGAGGGACTGAAAGAGTTGGGTATTCAACACGATAAACCAGTCACCTCAACAGTCACCGCCTCTCAAACACAGCCTGTCCCCCACATCTCCCAGGGCTTTCCGCCCTTCATGGAAACATCCTGGGGTCTGGAGCTGAGAGAGGTAGGACCCTTTCTCATCACCATCACGCCATGAGCCCATCATATCTCCCTGGTATATCCACCTTGGATGATAATTCTCCAATTCAGTTTTCCAACACTCTGTCGTCTCTAGCCTAGGTCCCTGGGACTTCTGACCCCTGGAGATAGACATAGAAGTCCCGGGACTTGCTCCATGATGCTTCCCTCTCAGAGAACTTCCTTTGGGGCTGACAGACCCACTGACTGATATGTCTGACCCTGCTATTATGTGGCCTGTGGGCAAATGGAAGGATATATTATTTTCACAACCCAAATGGGAAACCGAGTCTCAGTGAAGCAGAGTTGAACTATGCTAACATTGTGACAGACTTAGAGTACTTGTGGAAGACACCATGAGAAATAACTGATGTCACATTATCAAGACTGTGCGTGTCAGAGTGCTTCCTGAATACTTTATCAGTCTTCACAGTCATCCCAGTTTACAGATGGAAAGCTGAAGGCCAAATAATTAAATCGTCTGCCCTGCCACAGAATTGAAAGCTTGGAATTAAATAGCAGGCTCTCAATGGATGGAACTAGGAAGGCTATACAGTTCCTGGCTCTGGGTCCCTAGGGGATCATGTAGCCTTTCTTAATACTGGACCACAGAGGAAAATCCCCAGTACAAAGGTCTGCAGGGTGACAATATCAGAGGAGCTGCTGCTGCCCCTGCCTGTGGCTCCCCCCCCCCATCACAACGCAGCACGCACAGGCGCACAGGTCGCAGCTGTTGCCCAGAGACGCTTGCAGCTTTACAGACCTAGCTGTGAAATGCTGCCACAGGCGGCTGGAATGCTTTAGTGGCTCGGGAGGTTGAGTGGGCTGTACTCACACTCCGTGTTTCCGCCAAGACTGGGAAACCAGAAGTAGAAGGGTCTTAGAGACCACAATGGGCAATCAAGCTATGGTAACAGACCAGGAAGTGACTTGCACAGGTGGCACAGGTAGAGGCACAGGAGGGTCGGTCAGGGCTGAGCCCTCCTCAGTCCACCGTCCACACCTGCTACACTCCCTGCTACACATCCTAGTCCGTCAGACCCAGACTCGAAGCCCTCAGGGGGCCGTGCTTTCCTTCCAACTTACTCCGTCAGACAGGGCCTCTCACGGAACCAATGCTTCTCACTTTGGTTAGGCCAGCTGTCTTGCTAGCTGCTGGGACCCTCCTGACTCTGTCCCCCAGTGCTGCAGGTAAAGGCACGTACAGCACAACTAGCTTCTTATGTGGACGATGAGGCTCAAACTCAGTCCCTCACGTTTACGGAGAAAGCGCTCTTGTCCACTGAGCTGTCGCCCTAGCTCCAATGTCGGCCGCTCTCGTCCACTGAGCCGTCGCCCCAATGTCTGCTTCTCCATTTGCCCTCAGCACACACCGGTCCATGGACAAGTGGCTGTGTAAGCACGAGATCTGCACCAAACATGTCCCACCGACTCCAGCAAATCCATCATCAGTGCCCACCATGCCCACCCGAACGCCTGACCAAATAGAGAACCAAGATGACTTGTGCAAAGGGTAACATGCAGGCCATGGACCTGCCGTCAGTCCCCAGCCACTTACCTCATTCAGCTTGACCCAGTTGAAGGACTTCAGTGGGTGTGAAGGCTGGGGGATGCGCTTTTTCCTGAGTGGGGGGGCATCATTGCTCGGGAAGGGGTCCTGAGGCAGCGGTGGGCCTGAGCTGAAGCAGGGTGGGGCACCTGGGGGGATAGGAGGCCCTCCGGGAGGGAGGGGTGGTGGGGGCGGGGGTGGGCAGGAAGCAAAGGGGAGAGGGGGTGGGGGTGGAGGCAGAGCATTGGTTGTTGTGGAGGAAGACAAGGGGAGTGGGCCTCCAGGGGGAGGTGGGGAAGACACCGGGCCGGTCTGTGGGAAGACAAAAAAGGCAGGATGGTGAGCCCGTCACACACAAGCTAGCCAGGTCTCCACATTCTCCTCATTTCTTCCTTCCCGAACCTTCTTCAGTCTTTCATGGACATGCAGACTTTGTTTTCTCTCTCTGCATCTCAAACAGCAACACACACACACACACACACAATACAGACATACAAACATACACAGACACACAACACAGACATACACACACACAATACAGACATACAAACATACACAGACACAGACACACACAACAAAGACATACACACAGACACACATGTGCATGTGTGCACACACACAGATACAGACACACAAAAATACAGACATGCATGTGTGTGAACACACACACAGATACAGACATACATATACGTAGATACACACATACAGACACAGACACACTTGTGTACATGCACACACAGATACAGACACTCAAAAATACAGACACACACATGTGAACATACACACAGATACATATAAACACAGACATACATGTGCACATGTGTGCACACACAAATAAACACACACATGCACAGATACACACATATAGACATAGACACACGTGCATGTGCTCACACACAGACACACACAAAAATACATGCACATGTGCGAACACATACACACACACACACACACACACACACACACACACAGAAAGTTAAGCATACACACAGACACTAAAAACCAGAGTCCCAACTGTCAAAATGAAGCATCTGGATGCGTGCATACAATGGTGCAGGCTACTCACTGACTGCACAAAGACACCCAGCCCAAAGGAAGGGGCAGGGATTTTAGCTGCACTCTCCTGTTCAGTGTCATCCCATCCATAGAGGGGTCTTTTTTCTCTAATTTGTTAACACAAAGGGCTCACCCATTCGGACTGAAGAGCCACTTGGCTTGTGGCTCAAGTCCCCCTTTCTCTTATCCCTCATCTTGGGGTTCGTGTCTTCTCCACACCCCTGCTCTGCCCACTCCAGCCTGAAACTCAGGGTGCTGGCTGAGCTGCATAAGTGGGAAGTGATGCCCGAGTACTCGTACTGAGATTTCATTGAGTTGGGCTACCAGTTCTGCCACTTGTCCCCTAGCTTGGCGCAGCTCCTGGGATTCCCGGGCCAGCTTGTCCTTCATCTTGTTCAGGGTCCTCATCATCTCTTCCTTCTCCAGCGTCTTCGTCTCGCACTCTCGCTCCTTCCTCTCCAGACGGCTCACGAGCTCCATGTGTTCTGGAGGGCAAGGAGAGAGGGGCCAGGCATGAGGAAGGGAACGGGGCGGTGCCAGCAGGGAGTGGGCGTGGCTAGTTCGGGTGGACCCTCTCACCCTTCCGGAACTTCTCTGCTTGGTCCCGCCACTGCTTCACCTCGTTCTCATTGATGAGCCTGTTGAGGAGTGCAAGGGACCGTGTGACTTGGACATTGCCTCACCTCTTCCTGGAAGACGGGCATCTCTGTTCCCCAGAGACAGAACCCCATCTCTGATCTGTGCACACACAGGCCCCCTCCAGGTCCCCATTCCTGCCCATTCTCACTCTGTGTCCTCATGGACCATGGGGATGGGAGGGACCACAACACGCACGCACGCACTCAGCCTAATGTGTATGGAGCATGATCATGGGTGCATCTGAACCACAGAACAACCTCATTCATAGCAAACTCTTCTAACAGGTCTTAAACTGGCTTTTCCTCAGACCCTCAAGTTATGAGGGACTGAATCCCGTCATGACAGCCCAGCAATCATTACATGTTTACATCGGTCTGTCTATCTACTCCATGCCACTGCACGTGGACTCAGAGACGACAACCTTGAGGATTTATTCTGTCCTTCAGCACGTGGGTTCCAGGGACTGAACTCAGGTCATCAGGCTGGGCAGCAAGTGTCTACAAATGCTGAACAATCTCGCTGGCCCGTGGTGAGGGTTCTTTGGAGGGCCACTATGGCGGCCGTTGGCCACTGTGGCGGTCATTGGGGTGAGACATCCTTTACTACCCAAAGAGGTGTTCTTTGGGCTTGGGACAGGGTCTTGGTTGTGTTCCCTGATTTGGGGAAGGGTACGGGGTAGACTGGGTTCTACTCGGGACTAAGAAAATGAAGATGGTAAAGAAGGGTTAATCAACCCAGACAGCGTGGCTGTGCTGTGATCTGTTGGCACCCCGGGAGTTTGCTGACAGAGCCTGTATGAGTGAAGCAGATACCAGTTGGGGCCCTTTGGTTGAATTGGGCTGATGCCATCTGTCTATGGATCCCAGAGGACCATTTGTGAGATAACTGGACGCATCAAAGTCTAGGCCAGTATGTGCCGGCCTGCTAGAGAGGCAATAGTTGATGGAAGGGCCAAAAGCAGACAACCAGCCTGATGGGGGTGGGGAGCCTCTTACATGGTCCACGAGTTGGGAAAGGCTCTTATCAAGGAAGTCTAGAAGATCTCAGCGTACTCATGTGCAGAGTCAGAGATCAGGAGACCTGTTACCAGACAGCCTACTCACTAAGACCTTTCCCCTTCCTCCCTCCTGCCTCCTGTCCCCAGGTGCATCATGAAGGGTGTCAGAAACTTGTGTAAGCTAGTAGATCTGGGACACAGAAAGGCTCCAAGGAGAACTGGAACAGAGACAGGAAGAGAAAAAGCCAGTCATACCCCACACATGCACAGACACACACATATACCCACCTGTGTGTCGATACCACTCCCATTCCTAGTCTGACCTCAGAGGAGAGACATTTAAGGCTAAATCAGGTCTTATTCGTTCACCCATGTAAAAATAAATAGCTTCTGTGTGTCCTGTACACTGTAAAAGGTCTAGGGCTCTGAGAACCCCGTACAATAGGTTTATGTTCAAAGGTCCATGCCCCATGTCAGTGGCCACCAACACTTCTGTAAAGAGCCAGCCCCAACAAGAGACCCCCACGTCAAAGGAGATGGACAGTGTACCTGAGGACAGTATCCCGGTTGTCTGTTAGCTTTCATGTGCACATCATACATGTACATGCTTACACATGTGTATGCACATGACACGTGTATACACTCTCCAAAACAAAAACACACAAATAAAGGAAAAACCAAGCCAAACAATTCTCAGCAATAACTGGAGGACTGGACTGGCTCATGACTTATAGTCTACTGGTCATACGTGATCTTAACCCCTCTGGCTAAGCCTTGCAGTGGACAATGAAGAACAGAGAGTTGAGTGTAACCTATACTCATACTGTCTAGCACAGTTATCAGTAGGCTCATGATGCAGCTATTCACATCGAAATGAGACAAAATAAAGAATCCAGTATCTAAATACACTTGCCATACATGCTCAATACTCATAGGCCAAATAATGGCTGTACGTGGTTAATCTTGACAGGACCTAGAGTCACCAAAGAGGCAAACCTCTGGGCATATCTGTGAGGAGTTTCCCAGGTGGGGTTCACTGAGGAAAGGAAGCCACCAGTACCATTTCATGGGCTAGGGACGTGGGCCACTGAAGAGGGGAAAGTCAGCTGAGCACGACGTTATGTCTCTGGGCACCCAATTCATCAGCCTCAAGACCCTGCAGCCAGGTGGTCATACACTCAGCTCTGCACCAAAAGAAACAGCCTGCCTCCTTCCTTCCTTTCCTTCCTCCTTCCTTCCTTTCCTTCCTCCTCCTTCCTTCCTCATCCTTCCCTCCTTCTTTCTCCTCCTTCCTTCTTCCTCCTTCTTCCTTCCTTCCTCCTTCCTCCTCCTTCCTTCCTTCCTTCCTCCCTTCCTTCCTCCTTTTTCCTTCCTACCTTCCTTCCTTCCTTCTTTCTTCCTTTCTCCTTCCTCCACCCCTCCTTACACCTCCCTTCTCCCTCCTTCCTTCCCTCTCTCTCTCCTTCCTTCCTTCATCCTTTCTTATTTCTTCCTTTCTCCTCCCTTTCTTCCTCCTCCCTTTCTTCTTCTTCCCTTCCTTCTCTCTTCCTCCCTCCCTCCTTCCCTTCTCCTTTACTTCCTTCCTCCCTCCCTTCCTCCTTCCTTCTTCCCTCCTTCTTTCCCTTCTCCCACCCTCCTTTCTTTCCTTCCTTCATCTCTCCCTCCCTCCTTCCCTTCCTTCCTTCCTTCCTCCCTTTCTTCCTTCTCTTCCTGCCTCTGCGTTGTCCAAGCATTTTTCCACATGAACAAGAAAAGCAACTAACCCAGCTGCCTCTATATACTATGGAAAAGAGTTTCTGGAGTCTGGAGAGAGTGCATAAGTATTGTTAAGCAAGCTCACAGGGAGAGAAATAGGGCTGGCAGAGGCCAGCTGTAACTCACATGTTGACAATGTTCTTGACATTGAAGTTTTCCAGTGGGGCCAGGTCAGGGTCAATGCCTTGCTCATCCTGGAGGACGATCTGCTGAAGGATTCGGTCCAGGAGCTGCCACTGCTGGAAGTAGCCACCATTCCGCTTGTCTGAGGGACAGAAGGCATTGTGTTTGTCCTGAGCCCTGGAACCCCTGGAGTCCTTGTTCAGGCATGACTGCCTAGGCCCAGGTCGGCAAGGCAAGCCCTTCCCCCTCTCAGGAAGCTCCTGGTCTGATGGAAGAGGCAGGGCTGCCACCAATCATGGAGACTCATTCCAGTCCACTCCTCATTATCTGCAGATGGCGTTTCATGGCCTGGTCAACCCTTCTAATACTTTTCTACAGTACAGAATGCTTCCTCTTTCCTGTCAAGACTCTGGCAGACTGTGCCCTGGGGACCCTGGGCATACTGTGACCTGGGAATGTGAATGCCTTTTTCTACTGTCTATAAAAAGTACCTGTTTGAAAATATTACATGCTCAATAATGAAGTCCCCAGGGAGACCTCATGATTATCTTTGTTTTGACTTTACAGAAAAGGGTGAACAGAAGCTGACCCAGGCATGTGCTGGGAGCTTTGAATGAGTTAGAGAAGGGCAGCGTGGAACCTAGGAGGCTTCCTGGTGGCGATGAACTTGAACTATGAAGGAAAGGCTTCTCGTCTTGTCACCCCCACTGATCACAGTCCACCTGGATGCTCACCTCCTTCTTACACAACAGCTTTATCTTTAATGGCCACTAGGAAAACTTATTTGATCCTGACATCAGATTCTGCCTACAGACTAGACACTTGTGTCTTCAAAACTCCATTTAGAGACGGAAGAGAAGGGTCCTTTCACACTGCTATGGACCACCAAACAGGGGATCTCTAGGAGCAGAGGAAATCAGACTCCAGCAACTTCCGTGAAGATCTGGGCTGAATTTGGGATTTTAAAAATGTGTGTGTGTGTGTGTGTGTGTGTGTGTGTTATGTATGTCTGTGTGTCTCCAAAGACCAGAAGAAGTTGTCAGATCCCATGGAGATGGAGTTAAAAGTATTTGTGAGACACCACACATGTGTTCTGGAAACCTGAACTGAAGAAGGGAGGGTCTGTAATTGCGAGCCATTTGTCCAGTCCTGGGGCTGGGGCTGGGGCTGGGGCTGAGGAGTCTGTGACTTCCTGGTGCAGCTCATTGTCTCTGTCTGCTGCTCACCATTCTACCCACGCCATGCTGTTACCTTGTCAGTTTGCTGTTCCTTGGAATGCAGTGTAAATGTGGGCCACACAGGCTGCATCTAAAGCCTGACCCCAAACCAAGAGAAACAGCATCTCTACGTGAAGAACTCACTTAAGTGATAGCATGAAGGGTGTCCTGAGGTTCAGGGACAATGTGCTGGGACCCTCCCATCAGATGTGCCCCAAGCTGGAGCTGTCACCACCTCTATGACTTTGGTGATCCTGATTAGGCTGATAGTTACACAGAGAACCAAAATACTCTACTTTGGAAAGCTGGATACAGCTGAGGCCCATTTTCTATTACATTCTGTGGCAATGATGAGTAATAATCTTGAATAATTTATTCTCATACTACTACCCTGAAACACATGGATCTTGAGAACTCAGCCACCTGCTCCCAAGATGCCATTTGCTGTCTATAAAGAGGGTTGGAGTAAGCAAGGATGATAAATTTTAAAAACAAAGCAAACATGAGGCTGGGCAGATGATCTGGACTGGTAAAGTGCTGGTCACATTAGGACCCAGGTTCCATCCCTAGCATGGGAGCTCATGGACTCTGGACCAACAGCTAGGGAGCCTGCATGGGATCCACCTAAGACATCTGTGGCTTGGTCTGTTTCTGGGGCCCCTGCAGTGGGACCAGGATCTATCCCTGGTTCACGAGCTGACTTTCTGGAGTCCATTCCCTATGGTGGGATGCCTCACTCAACCTTGACGCAGGAGGAGGAGCTTGGCCCTGAGTCAACTTGATGTGCCAGGCTTTGTAGACTCCCGGTGAGAGGCTTTACCTTTCTGAGGAATGTCTGTGGGGGTGGGATCGGAGGAAGATGCAGGGAGGAGGGAATAGGAGGTGGGGAGGGAGGGGAAACTGTGGTTTGTATGTAAAATGAATAAAAATTTAAAATTTAAAATAATAAAAGAAAGAAAACCCTAGCATCTCTATAAGGGGGCTGGGGAGGCAGAGGTGGGAGGAGCCCCGAGGCTCATTGGCCAGCCAGTTTAACTGAATCTGTGATTTCCAGGTTCAGTGAGAGACTCTGTCTCAAAAAAAAAAAATAAGGGGGGCAGAAGGAGGCACCTGATAATAACTTCTGGCACACAGGCACTAGAGAACACACACACAAATACACATGCATGCACAAACACATATGTACTTACTCACACAATACACACACATACACAACCACACACTATAGTTAAAGCAAACAAAGCATCATGAGCATTGCATATATGTTCTGTTTCTCTAAGCATGAAACTCCCTTTTGCAAATGACAAGAAGACTCCATGTCCCCACCAGGCTGCTTGTTGGACTACAAGGCTGGAGTTGCTTCAACCCTGTTCTTAGCTCCACCCCCAGGGTGACAGGAGGAATCCCAAGGAGGGGGGCACCTGAGTCACCGGGGCTGCCCCCTGAAGGCCATCGCAGAGGGAATGTGTCCAGCAGGCTCTCAATCACAGGCTCACATCCACCTGGTGGCTCAAGACCAAGGCCCCAGGGAGCCGTGTGGAGAGCAGGGTACTCACAGGGCATCTGCAGGCAGTGGTGCAGGACAGAGAGTAGGCAGGGGTAGGCCTCCGTGTGCTTCAGCTTCTTGTGGATCAGCTCAAACATCTGGGAGGCACTTTTCGTGTCGATGTGGACCTGGGGAGTTTAGGCCTCAGTGAATGGCAGAGCCAGACAGGCAGGAAGAAACAAAGGGCTGGCGGGTACTATTCCCCTCCTCCCAGCTGCATCCATCTCCGGGGAAGAGTTCCCCTTCCCTGCTGTCACCCCAGAACAAAGGATGAAAGCAGGCATGGTGGTGGGGACTATACAGCCCCATATCCCCAGCTCAGCACCCAGGCATCTTGGAGCAGATAATCCTTTGGCGGGGGTGGGGCATTCCATGACTTGAAGAATGTTTAGTGCTATGCCTAGCCACTGCCCCCTACTAGATGCCAATGGTCTCCTCCCTCTTCCCTCCCCAAGTTGTGACATGCAAAACATGCCCACTCTTGACCAATGCTTCATGGGGAGGCAGGAGTGAAACCACCCTGAGCCACACCAAGGGAAGGAAGGGGGCATAGATGCTTCAAAGAAGCAGGTGGCCTGTAGCTCAAGGCACAGATATGTTCTACAGCTAGTAACCTGTTAAATTCTCCAATCTCGAACCCCTTATCTGCAATCCCAGGCTTTGTGGGTGTGTAGGTGGGTGATGTGTAATGCCCATAGCCCCACCCCAAATGAATCTATCGTTTAGGTAGAACTGTATGATACAGCATGTAAGCAACAGAGATGTGTGCATTTTGAGCCACTGAAACCCAGATGAAATGGTTTGGGTCACTAAGCACCATTTGTCTAGGGATAGAAAGAGGCAACTTGGGAAATTAGGGGCAGCATGGAAAAGCCAGCAAGTAATAGAATTTGAGGTGAAGTATGTTCATGTATTTACTGGCTGTCTTACTTTGTGGGTTTTGGTTTCTTGGGGGCAAATGATCAGGTATGGCTTATGAGGTAAGGTCCCCAGAGGAAACACACCACTAGAATTCCTTCAGAAGCGGGACCTGGCCATAGAATACCACCGGGGACACAGCCAGCACTGAACTGACTTTCAGCACAGGATTTGGGGTGGCTGTGGGGCTTCCCAGAACCCCATACAAATGTCCTACCCACACAGGCACCTCACCATGTCAAACCTCCGGGCCAGCTCCAGGTCATCCTCATTCCGGACCATCTCAAAGAAGTCTAAATGCCTAGACAGATTGGGGGTAGGTAGGGTGTGCAGAGAAAGTGTTACTAAAGCAAGAACATCCCTGGTGGAGGCTTCCAGCCCCTTCAATATCCCACTGACTATCTGAAAGCTTTACTCAGGTGAGGCTATGTCAAGACCAGAAAGATGCCGTACAATATAAGCCAACCCCCATCTCCTTGATAAGATTTCATGGTCTTCCTTTAGGGTGGCAATGTCAATGTCTAGTCACCACAGATCCACATTTTTGCACTTGGACATCATTGACTTGTTAGGCACAGCTGTCCTTGGTGAGGGGAAGAAGCCACTTTGTGTGCTCCAGGTTATTTGTCTCATCCCTGGCATTTACCCATAAGATGACAGTAGAACCCCACCCGCCCCAGCCAACCGTCGTGGATCAGATATGCAGTCTCAGCACTCAGGGAGCTAAGGTAGAAGGATCATGAATTTGAGACCAGTCTGAGCTATACACTGAGTTCCAGGCTAGTCTGAACTATAGCATGAACCCCTGCCTCAAAAAACCACAGAAGCCAGCTCCCAACGGTGCCAACCCAAACACCTCTAGACATTGCTAGGTACCTCCTGGAGGATAAAGTCACCCACTTTCCAGGACCACTGTCTTCCATCTATCTTCCCAGTGTTACCATAGTGTCTCCAATTTAGTCCTCAAAGCAAATCTCTGCTTTATTTTCCACAGAAATGCTGGCCCCTTTCCACAGCAAAACGATCAATTCCCTCTTCTCCTCCTTCTCCCTCACCCTGTGTGTGTGCGTGTATGTGTGTGTGTGTGTGTGTGTGTGCTATGTGCAAGTATGTATTATGTGTTCTTTTGAAGATCAACGGTCAGGTGTCCCTTCTGTCTCTCTTTGCCTTATCTCTTTGATCCGGGGTCTCTCACTGAAACGGAAGCAAGGCTGCAGGTGGCCTGAAGGCCACAGCCGTCTTTCTGTGTCCCCTCCCACGGTGCTGGTGTTTCCGGCTCCTTGCAGCCATACTTGGCTTTTTACGTGAGTGCTACAACTCAGCTCCTTGCACCAGCATAGCAAGAGCTCATCCTTGCCCAGCTATCTCCCTTGGCCTGCATGCTCTCTTCTTAGCACCCAGTGTCATAAAGTGCTTATGCAATGAGATAGAGCAGTGTGGCTCACCGTGACACATAAGAACATGGCCCTGCCTTTTGACCATCAGGGTATTTACAGCATGCATTTGTGGAGGTACGGTTCTCTGTAGAGCTGGGCATTTAGCATTCTGCTCCTTCAAGACTAAGACTATCAGCAGTGCTCCCCTGACAAGGTTGAAAACCAAAGGGCATCCCCACCTATTTCTGAATGTCTCTGAGAGGATGGTCCACCTGGACTGAGGACCACTGAGCTCATCTGTCCATACCATCAGGGAGGAGATAAGCTCGGTTCAGCTGCGGCACTCAGCGCTGACTCTAAGCGTAGGCTTCCTATGGCAGTTGCTCCCCAGGGGAAGAACAGCCTTCTCTAAGGCCTAACCACCCCCATCGAGAGGAGCTGTCACCACAGGTGCATGGTGGTCTGGGTAGCTGATGCCTTACTTGTCCAGGATGGCATTCTCGTGTTGTCGGAGTTTATCTATCACAGGCTGGATCCCCAGCATCAGGAACTCATACCGGAGATGTAGGCGGAATTCGAGGTTGTCCTGAGAGTCACCAAGGGAAAACCAGACTCAGTGGCTCATCTCGTGTCCAAGAGAGGCACCCGTAGACTCTGTCAGCCCCACTTCAGCCACATGTCATGTTGTGAGGCAGATTCATCCAGAACTCCTTCCAGAGACTGCCTACAACCTTGCTCTTTCCCTCAAGTCAGCCTGCCAATCAGCCCCTAGGCCCCGCCCAGGTCACTTCCTTTCACGCCCTGGTGGGTCATTGCTCAGCCTCTGGTGTTAAGAGTCAATGCTGTAAAACTACAGACTGGGAGGATTGGCTCTTTCCATGTTCCACTGTTCCATGTTTGGGCTCCGGCAAAGCCTTTGCTTCCTCATTTGTAAAGCTGGTCTAATATAATCTATCGGTGGGATGGGTGTGGTGGTTTGAATGATGATGACCTCCATAGGCTCATGTATTTGAAGGCTTGGTCCACAGTTAGTGGAACTGTTTGTGAAGGATTAGGAGGTGTGGCTTTGTTGGGGAAGGTGTGTCACTGGGGGTGGGCTTGAGGTTTCAAAATCCCGCACCATTCCCAGTTAGCTCTCTCTGCCTTGCGCTTGTGAATCATGTGTAAGTTCTCAGCCTCCTCTCCAGGGTCATTCTTGCCTGCCTCATGCTGAGCTCTTTCTTTCCTGTGATGGTCATGGACTTACCCTCTGACAGTGTAAGCCCCAGCAAACTGTTTCCTCAGCCAGGCATCTCATCGTAGCATAAAAAGGGTAACTAAGACAGAAGTTGGTACCAGGGAGTGGGCCATTGCTGTGACAAGCCTGACCATGATATGGTTTTTGGACTCTGTGACTTTGAACTAGAAAAGTGGTTGAATTCTGTAAGTGAGGCTTAAGAGGCCAGGCTAGTTGGGGCTTGGAAGACAATAGTGCTGTGAACAGTGTGGCCATGGAGAAGAGAACAATATTAGTGATTGCCTTAGAGGCCATTACTTGTGATATTCCCTCCAAGAATGTGGCAGCTGTTTCCCCTTGCCCCGAGAATCTGACACATTGAAGAGTTTTGGACTACTTTCGCTGGCAGAGGAGATTTTGAGACAGATTTTAATGTTGACTGTCTTGTGGTTATTAGTGGCCACTCTTATGCAGGTCTACAATGAAAAGGAGCAAGTAGAACAAAAGGAAATACAAAATACACAATTTGAGGGGAAAAGAACACCAGGAAATTTAAAGTTGGAGCCAAGGTTTGTGCTAACAAAGATAAAAAGAAACAGAATAAAAGAAGAGGTGTTTTCGGAGTGAGACCACACCAGTTTGTGGTCCTAAAACACACTGACGAATCAAATCTTAGGCAAATGCAATTTGAAAGCAACCGTTCCAAACAGGCTGCCTAACTTGGCAGCATCACCATGTGAAGAGCAAAGGGGTTATGGAATCTTCCTCTCCGGTTAAGGAAATCCCTAAAGCTGGGTGTGTGGGAGGAATGTCCCTGTATGGATCCTGGGAGAGGGCGTTGTGTGAAACTGTGAGAGAGAAGCTCAGATTTCACTAGAGACCCTGAGGATGTTAATGATGCCAGAGTCTTGGGATGTCTGCCAAAGAGAGCTACAGCCCAAAGAGAGAAGTGTGTTGCAGCCAGCAAAGCTGGAGGGAAGAGCCAGCTTGTCCCTTTGACATCTGATATGGAACGGTAGGATTTGGAGTTTGCCCTGCTGGCTTTTGGTCTTGCTTTGGCCCATATTTCTTCATGCCCCATCCCCCCTTTTGGAATGGTAATGTATATTCTTGCCCTTGTATGATGGAAGTATGTAATTTGCTCTTTGATTTTACAGGGTTTATGTAAACTTTTAAACAATGTTGAGACTATGAAAGACTCCGGAGACTTTTGAAGTTGGACTAAATGCATTTTGCACTGTGATACCTGTGGGGGCCAGGAGTGGAATGTGGTGGTTTGAAGGAGAACGGCCCCCTGTAGGCGCATGTATTCGAATGTTTGTTCCCAGTTAGTAAAACTATTTGGGAAGGATTGGGAGGTGTGGCCTTGTTGGAGGTGTGTCACTGGGAGTGGCTCTGAGGTTTCAAACACCCAACACCATTCCCAGTCAGGTCTATTGTTTCTTCCCACTTGCTGATAAGCATGGCAGCTCTCAGCTATTGTTGCCATGCTGTCTACCATGATGGTCATGAAGGACTCTAACCTTCTGAAACTGTAAGCCTAACACGTTCTTTTTTCTATAATTTTCTTTGGTCATGGTTTCTCATCACCGCAACTGAGAAGTAACTAAGACAATTCATATTATTAAAAATTTCCTGCTATAGTATAACTACCACAGGGAAAATGACAATCTTATAAAGCAGGTACTGCCGGGCAGTGGTGGCGCACGCCTTTAATCCCAGCACTCGGGAGACAGAGGCAGGCGGATCTCTGTGAGTTCGAGGCCGGGCTGGACCAATAGCCTCCGAAACAATACAGAGAAACCCTGTCTCCTAAAAACAAAAACAAACAAAAAACAAAAACAAACAAAAAAAAAACAAAAAAAAAGCAGGTACTGTTTAAGTCACATGATGTCACTATCTTAGGACTAGATTATTCCCTAGAATGTCTGGTAGAATTCAGGTGAGGAGAACTGTGTATGCACACATAGATACACACACACTCACACACACATGCACACGGTCATTCTGGCAAAAAGGAGGGTGGAGGAGAGCTCCTTAAGGGCCCTCTTGGCTTCTTTGATCCTTTGGGCTGAACTCGTCTGGGATATTTGTTTGCCTGAGAATCTAAGACTTCAGCTACTTTCAGGTTTTTCTAATATTACTGTCGCACGGGACTGGGAATCCCAGTGTGCCCCTAGAAGGAGGGAACCACCGTCCACCCTCCTAACCCTCCTAGAACATGACTAGCCAAGTTGGAAAGCACTCCAAAAGGGGGTCTCTAGAAAACTACGAAGGACCAAAGGTTCCTCTCCTTTCGTAAAGAAGTTCTACCTGCTCAGCCTTCGCCTGCCAGCCTCACTGGGGATTTGTGCCTGACCCACAATGCACTGCGCTACTGATGAAGGAAATTGCCCAGAGTCAAAGAGCAGTGTGGGAAGCAAACTCAGAGTCAGTCTCCAACAGCACTGTGAACAGCCAAGATGGACTGTGGGTCTGAGACCACCTGAGGCCTTGGTGGAGTGAAGCTAGACTCATGCAGGCTTTCCTTCCATCGCCCCAAGTGAAGGAGGTAGGTGTTGGGGACTGCTGGAACCTTGAACAAAATGGAGTCTGTCAACCGTTTCTTGGCCTTCTGTCTACGTGACTGCGAGCACACATGCCCTTGAGACAAAGGAAAAGGCTAACCATAAAAGTTAAATTTACACAGGGCAGCCCACCCGCCTAGCCAGGGGGAAGTACCCTTACAGAGCAATTGTCTTTGTTAACAAGATTATAGTGTTCTGTTGTATACTTCCTACCCCTCCCTAATTCCTGCACCTGACTTACGCTGACAAGCATTTGTGGAATGCAACTAATGACTGATGGAAAATTACAGCTTTGTTTTTACCGTATTTGGTGTATATTTGAAATGAGACTTGATTGACATGCTTGTACCACCCCCCTGAGGTCCTTCCTCTATAAGTTCCAGCGCGCCCCAAAAATAAAGGCTCTTGATCAGCGAACGTTGTCTTGAGCCTGTTTCCATTAACCTCTTGAAGTTCACTTTCCAGATCGGATCTGCTCATGAAGGCCCACTAAATTAGTAGCGACCCTCATCACCTCACCCCCGCGGGTCGGGGGTCCCTTCCCGGGGGTCGCAGGTAGGGAGTTCTAAAGGCATCTGAAGATAACAAGGACGGCAGTGGTCACACCAAGCCTCCGTCCTTCACTCTGTCATTTGCCTAGAAAGTTCTCAAACTCACATACTGCCTGAGGGCAGAGTGGAAGCAAGGGGCCTCACCTCTCCAGCCCCAGCGTTGAGGACGGCATTGATGAAGGACATGATGGCTGTCTTTAGGTTGACCTCGTCCCGGTACCGACCCAAACTTCGATCCAGCTCGTTCAGCAGTGTCTAATGGGAAGACAGGAATAGTCGGGAAGGAGATTCAGGGTGCCAGCCGAGAACCCTGCTCTACTGCCCTGCCTGGTCATGCCTCCCCAACTTATGGGGTCCACCCTAGTTCTTCACACCCCTGGCTTCCTGCTCAGCCCCCAGGGCTTTGGGTTCCCCTGCTGACCTCTGACTCTGCACCAGCTGTTGTCGGTCCTTGGCCATTCTTACATAGTTCCCCAACCCCATGGATGCTTCTTTTACTGTTTAGCATCCTTTGCAAAGGGCCAGGGACCACTTTCTGCACAGGATAATTGCTTATCTGCAAACATATGGTGCCAGACCAACAGCCTGGCTCATACATCAGAATTTACAATGTCAGGTCAATGACTGAGACTTAACCCAGGCACAAATCACAGGTCAGACAAAAGAAGGGAACCAGCATGGCCTGCATTCCCAGGCTGGTCCAGTGTCTGCAAACTTGGCACTCACCCAGTCCTAAAATCTTAACCCCAGCAACTGTACTCAATTCAATAATTCTTGTCTGGGTTCCTATCATAAGGCAGGTGCTAATCTCAGATAGCCAGAGCCACGGAAACCATGGAGTAAACCAGTATTTCAGCCTCAGGGACCCACAGTCTAGTAAGAGGACAAATCTAGTTTGAAAGCCAGACCACAGCTCTGAACATACAATTGCTTATGTCTTTCGAGAGAAGCCTTCTGGGTCCTAGATCTCCCTTCCTTCCATGAGTGGACACGCAGTCTACATGATGTCCCTTCCCTTCAGGGTCCTTTATATGGTTCTCAGTTTCTCTCCCATGCTACCCCTCCCAGCCCCAGTCCATGGCCCAAGCCTCCAACCCATTGCCCACCTGGAAACGAGTGCGCTCGGCTGCATACACTTGGTAGTGCAGCATGGCCTGGAGAACCTTCTTGTGTCCTCCGGGCACAAGGCACACTGCACCCAGGATTTCCAGTACTGCCACCTTAGTCTTGCTGTTCTCTGTGCGCAGGCTCTGTGCAATGGTACTGATGGCCTCGGGCTGGGCCAGGACATGTGCCCGCCCCTGGGAGTTGTTCATCAGAGCCTTGATGCAGCCAATGAGAGAGGTATGGATGCGGCTCTCACAGGTGGCGTGGTCCATGCTCCGGAGGAAGTTCAGCAGACAGGTCAAGCCTTCCAGCTCGATGAAGCGGGTCACAAACCTAAGCCAAAGCCCCAGAGGAACTTCCTATTTTTGTCTTCCACACACATTTTGCAAATAGCTACTCAGTATGCACGCCATTCACCATGCTCCACCCACGATAGCCTCCTGGCTCATTTATGAGTTTATCCATAGGCCCCAAATCTCATCCTTTCAGAAGACTCAGTTCATAAATTCTTTAAATAAAAACTTATTTTTATTTTTATTGTGTGTGTGTGTGTGTGTGTGTGTGTGTGTCTGTCTGTCTGTCTGTCTGTCTAAAGAGACCAGAAGAGGCACTGGATCCCTGGATTTGGAATTAAAGGCTATTGTAAGCCATCCAATGTGGGTGCTGGGGACAGAACTTTGGACTTCTGGAAGAGCAGGAAATGCTCTTAACTGCTGAGCATCTCTCCAGTCCCAGAGTGTTGGGAACACAACACGGGAGGTCCTTGCACCCACAGATCTCCAGGAAAACCAGGATTATCCTCTTAAAGGAAAGGATGTAAAACATATCCTTCATCCAGAAAGCTAGGGATTGGGGGTGATTGACAGCCTGGTGATCTTCCTTATCTGTTGGGTCACGACATATTAAATTTTCACAGTCAGGACCAGAGCCATTTACACGGCCCTCATAGCCAGGGGCTCCCTAAGCTCCCCCAGTCAGCACCAGAGGTGGTAGTCCACATGACCTCTACAATATCTGTATGACCAAGACCAGGCCAGACCCTTCCCTAGGCCCTTAAGCTAGCACAGATATCTCTAGATCCATCTTCCTGGAGGAAATGGCATGTACCCTGCCTGTATTGAGTTGCAATGTAATTACAATTCTTAGTGCATTGGGGATGGTTTTGCACTAGGAAACTTTTTTTCCAGATTCTCCTCTGCTTACATTTGTTGGGATTAATCCAGGTTGACAGAAGTAAGTCTGAATTGAGTTTTCATTCTCACTTCTTGCGGGTTTTTTTTCTCCCTGTGTGTGTAGGGACACCCCCTCCCCACCAAAGGACTTGCATTTTATTTTTTACTGCGTGTGCGTGTGTGTGTGTGTGTGTGTGTGTGTGTGTGTGTGTGCTCTTGTGTGCGCGCGCACACCTGTGTGTGGAGTGTGATGTTAAAGTGTCCTCCTCTATTGCTCTCCCCCCCTGTTTTCTGAGACAGACAGGGTCTCTCAGTGAACCTGGGCCTTGCCAGTTCAGCTAGACTGGCTGGCCAGCAAGCTCCAAGGCCTCGATTACCTCTGTCTCTCAGCACTGGGGTTACAGGTGTGTGGCTTTTAAATAGGTGCTGGAGATCTGGACTCAGGTCCTCGTGCTGCTAGAGCAAGGGCTTCTTCACTCACTGAGCCATTTTCCTGGTCCTAGAACTTACATTTGAAATGCGGTGTACTGTGGTGGTATCCCACCAAAAGGCTCATGTATTGAACGCCCGCCCCCCCTCCCAACTGGGAAGCTAGTTTTGGAGGTTCCAGACACTTTAGGAGATGGGGGACAGCTGAAGGAAGTTGTCACTTGAGTTGTGCCTCAGAAGGTTATATTGCGCTCCTCTTCCTCCTTGTCCCCTGTGAGGGGAACAGACTCTGCCATGCACTCCTGTAACCATGGAGTTTTCCTTACCACAGGCCAGAGCCAACGCCGAGTAACCATAGACTGAACCTTCTGAAAGTCCTTTCTCCCTTCAGTTGCTTTTCTAGGGTACTTGGTCTCTGTGACATAAAGATAATTCACACCCTAAATCTGCATATCACTGTTATTTGCATAGCTGGGGGCGGGGATGGGTGAAGCCATGATTGCAATCATTATAGTGTATCAACCTGAAGACTCATCTCTAACCAGACCAGCTGTGGGAGAATTATAGACAGGTGACAAGAAAACACTTCAGCATGGGGAGGCCATTACACTCAGATCAAGAGGCCCTGATAAACAGCATTTCCCTGATGCTTAGCGTACAGCCATTTAGCCCGGCCACTCTTAATCTGGAGTCTGTATTCCCATAAAGAGCCCCCGGGAAGCAGTCACTCAGTCCAAAGACCTCTATGGGAAAAGAGAATTACACTTTTATCTTGGATAACCTCTGACAGAATACTCGCATTCCTTCAATAACAAATGCAGGCTACCAACCACAGAACTACTAGCGGAATCAGAGACTTTGTCACCCGAAATAATGGCCGCTGTTTTCATATCGAATTAGAGCTGTTGCAGATATCTCAAAATACATTGGCACCTATGGGTTCTTCAGTATTCCAGTGCTTACCACACCCACCCACTGCCAGCGCTCACCAACGAACATTTATTGCTATCACCTGCATTTTTTTAATATTTGTGAGCCCGTTTTAATTGAATTGGTTTATTCTTCAACTCTGTGTATTTTATGCTGTGGAAGCAAGATTTTACCTTGTCTGTGTGTGAGACAGCTATGGCAATGCATTAAAAATTATTGTAGAGACCTTAATTTAGTAACTTAATTAAGGATCTGAGAACATGGTCATGAATTGAGTTCAGAACTACTATATATAATTAATATGTAAATGTATCTCTATGAATGTTATGTTGTGTAAGTATCCAGAGTATGTTCTCAACTGAAGTTAGCAATATGTATTTTTCCTGATTTTATGCTTTTCTGTATTGCACATAGTTTCTACAATGATGTCATGTGATTCTTAAAATCAGAATTTTACTAAGGGGAATTAAAATGAACTTTTGATTACATGCTATCTTCATCATGGATCATGGGCATAAACTCAAGAACATAGCTAATAGAAAGACCATATGTAATAGCAAAATGCAGAAAAATAATTGGGTAATTAGTGGTGTATACCAATATTATTTTGGATATCATTTATTTAATCAAAAGTTGATATAATTTAAAATATAATTGCAAATAGGACTAATAACTCATTTGGAAGACTGCTGAGCATTTAACAGTGGGTTCTCCAATGTTAGTAGTTCAAGCACAACACTGGGAAGAGCAAAAAAGAGACTCTTGCAGCTCTCGGCTGTCTCTGGATCTTCACTGTGGTCTAGGAGGGGGAAGAGGTATTCTGTGGCCTTTGGACCCCCATCTGCCCCCTTTCCTTCCTGCTTGGCTCCCACTCTAGGTGGCTAGAGCACACCCTTAGTTAGACTCCGCATTGCCCCCTAGTGTGTGGAGGATTTCTCAACCCATGCCCTCCTCCCTCCTCTCTGAGCGGTCACTCTGCCCACTCTTCCTCAGAAAGTCCTTTATTACACACCGCCTGCCCTCGATTCCTCTTTTCAGAGTTCTCGGGACCCAAGGTTTGTCCACTCCCCCACATCATTTCCCCTCCTATCCACACCCTCCCAGCGACCCACAGAGAAATGGAAACTGGGAGCAAAAAGGTAAAAGTGGATCTCATGAAATTCTGCATGCAACCTTGGCCAACAGGGCCAGCGTGGGGCAGAGCACTACGCCAGGCTTCAGAATGACAGAGCCACTGGGAAGGGGCGTAGAAGGAAGGAAGTGATTGAGAGGGTACAGTCCACGTCACCTCATGGGCTGTGTCCGGAGGGCTGTCTTCAGGTCTTCTACAACTTGGTTCCTTGTGGCTGTCTCCTTCTCATCAAACTCATACAGGTTCTGCATCTGAGGCCCACAGGGAAAGTGAGTAGAAGTCACACTGAGCTGTTTGCCTTCCCCTGGGAGGCTTCTGTATTCCCAGGGTGGCTGTGCCTGCAGAGCACACCCTTGCCTTGGGAAGGGCAAGGACTCAGAGGATGCTTCACTACCGTGATAGACAGACTCTGAGAGGACCAGGATCTGGCCTGGGACTTAATTTCCCATATCTAGGAAATAGAGGGAATTACTGACCCAGGCTGTTTCCCAAGATGGGTGATGTCCAACTGGGCTAATAGTCTTTAACTCCTGAGAGGACTCGATGTCCAAGGAGGTGGCTTGTGCAAGATCTCAGAATCACTGGGAAGCTGCTGAGCCTTAGGGGGCATGGCACTGGAGGGCAGGGAAGGCAGTGTGGCGTTGGGGCGCCACCACCTCCCTGTACCTGGCTATGTGGGACAAGAGAAGAACAGACACTTACCGCAGCCATGGAGTTGATGCGCTCAATGTAATAGTCGGGCCAGCTGGTTGCCAGCTTGTTGGGGTCCTCCTGCTCCTGGAACATGAGGGACAGACTCAGGTGTCTCCAACCACAGTCCACGGGACACATGTATCTCAGGGTAGTTACCCATGTGGCCCAACACATTCGCAGTGACAGTGCTGTGCCACAATGTCAAAGGGTTGGGGACTTCTTGATGGACATCTCCATAGGCTAAGACTGCATTGTTTGAAGTCTGTAGAGGGATCAGTTTCCAGCCCTACCCACAGAGGCAGCCTGTGGAAGCTGCACATCCTCCCTAGGTTTCTGTTTCTTCCTTGGTGAAATATTGACAATGAATACAGATTTGTGTGACTGCCAAGGGGGGGGGCAGACACCAGGTAGGGGCCATTTCCAATGGGCGACATGTGCAAAAACAGCATGTTTTCCTGTTGTTTCTGTTTTGCTTATATTAATAAATGTCATTTTATGATGACTGAGCCCCATGCACATTACTATTTTTATGTCTTCCATTTGTGTGTATGTATGAGTGTGCATGTTTGTGCAGGTGCAGGTACATATGGGAACACATGCATGTGTGCACACATGTACAGAAAGGCCTGGGCGTGACTCTGGTTTTGTGCCTCAGGCCCTGTCCACCTTGCTTTTGAGACAGGGTCTCTCACTGGTCCAGTGTTCTTTAAGTTGTTTAGGATAGCTAGCCAGCAAGCCCCAAGGGAGCTCAGCGTCCCTGCCTGCCCACCACTGGGATTACAAATGTGCTGACCGCCACATGTGGTTTTTGTTAAATGTACGCTCTGTGGGTCAAACTCAGCTGCCCGTGCTTGTGCACGTTGTTGGTGGGCTCTCTCCCATCCTGACTGCTTTAAATAAAAATTTCATTATTGGATATAGTGGCTTGAATAAAAAAATGTCCCCCATAGGCTTATGCATTGGAACACTTGGTTTCCAGTCAGGGAGGCTGCGGAACTTGGAGCCTGTGGAGCCTTGCCAGTGTGCCAGGAAGCAGGCGTAAGAAGGAAAGTGACACTTCTCAGCTTTGCATCTTCCTGACCCTGACCCAGCACAGGAGTCTGGCAGGAGTCTGTCCCATGGGTCTCTGCAATAGAGAATCCTAATTCTCAAGGGAAGCCCAAGTGAATCGGGACGCTCTTCTCGTCTTTGCTTTTTTAATGAGTTTCATTGGTGTGGGTATGTATGCAGGTGTGTGTGTGTGTGTGTGTGTGTGTGTGTGTGCACGTGCATGCGTGCATGCACGCACATGTGGAAGGCAAAGATGCATCAATGATCTGGCTTTTTATGTGGTTGCTGGGATTTGAACTCAGGTTCTCAAGTTTGCATAGCAAGTGCTTTACTGACTGTTTTTCTTTACTGTTTGCTCTCACATTCTTAGTGTGTACCTAAGACTATCTCTTAAATGAATTGAATGAATGAATGATTAAGTATCACAGTTGCCCCTGCCTGCTGGGGTCCCTGAGGTGGAGTTGGGGGGGGAGGGAGCACCTTTTTCTTGTTGCAGTAGATCTGCCATTTCTTCTCGGGTGGCAGTGCGAACACAGCCTCTCGGTTTTTGTCTGTGAGGTCCAATTCATCCTACGAAGAGGAGAAGAATCATGCCTGAGTATGAAGCTCTACAGGAGATCAGAACACCCCAAACTACTGCCCAGCCTCCTCTCCTCCTTCCAGAGAGCTCACACACGTAAGGCATCTCTTGTTCTACGAGAAGCAAAGCCTCAAGGCCTTGCCTCAACCAAGCCCAGCTTCCTCTACCCGGTGCTCCTCTGTTTCCTGCCCACGCCTCCTTGTCTTTGTAAATCCCTTTCCGACTCCAGACCACCCTGTTCCCACCTTCCCTGCCTTGGCTTTGCTGCTCCCTCACCTGGTGCATCCGGGGCATGGCTATTTGTCTCTACAGTCTGCTAGCACCCCGGGTTAAGGCCTGACAAAAGAGGTCCCATGCCATTAGATGGCCTTATCTCTTCCTCAGAGCTTCCCATCCCTCTGCCTGCCTATTGAGTCTCTCCTCTGAACTTTCCTGGATCCTTCAAGCTAGCACGGGCTGGAAAAGCTGAGCCAGAGAGATGAGGGCCAGAGTCTGAGCATGGGGAATGGGACACCATCCCAAAGGAGACACTGATGCTGATCTGCAACGCTTCCACCTTCAGGACACCAGGTGAAGCTGGCTGTGCAAGGCTCAGGACTCCACCAGGCTGGGTTATACTGTCTGAGAGGCAAGCATCTGAGGTTGTCATATTTGGGGTCATTCTCTTGTTTGGCTGTGCTGGGTGGCTTCTAAAGAGTCATTTTGTTTTTTGTTTTGTTCTCTCTCTCTCTCTCTCTTGTGTGTGTGTGTGTGTGTGTGTGTGTGTGTGTGTGTGTGATGAGTGCAGCTACTAGTGGCGGCCAGAAGAGGGCATCAGATCCTCTGGAGATGAACTAACAGGCAGTTGTAAACCACTCAGTGTGTGCTAGGAACCAACCTTAGGTCCTCAGTAAGAGATGCAAACACTCTTAACCACTGAGCCATCTCTGCAGCCCTAGGGCTTTAGGGAGAACATTTAAGATTTCTCCTTCCCTAGGTCAGAACTGTTAAGTAGAAATATAATGGGAGCAGCGTATTTTAAAATGTTCCAGTCACACTAAAAAAATTAAAGAGGAAAAAATAGATGAAGTTAATTTTAATGTTACATTTTATTTCAACTAATATACATAAAATATGACCATTTCAATGTGTAATAAATGTAAAAAATATCAGTATAATATATTTTACATTTTTCCTTTTCTTTTTCTATTTTTTTCTTCTTTTGAGATAGGCTCTCTTGTAGCTCAGGCTGATCTGGATTTCACTGTGCAGCCAGGATGACCTTGACCTTACGGTCCTCATGCCACACACCACACACCACGTGCTTTAAGATAATGCTAATCAGCTTGCCTGCCTTTGAAATTAAACAAGTCTACAGATTTAGTGACAAGGAGACACACTTTCATTGGCCTGTTCCCTGCACAGCCCAGAAGACAGTCTTAGATCCCAGCCAGGTCAGGCAGGAACCACCCATCTCTGCCTCTGTATCTCTAGTGTTCATCTCCCTGTTCCAAGGCTCTCGGGGTCCCCTGGAGGACCCCACTTTCTGCTTACCTCTGAAATTAAAGACTCCTATGGAAATCCCAGAAAACAACTGAGCGGAAGCAATCAGGAGTACTCGATATCTCTTTTTACACTCTGACCCTTCTAATGGCAGCCAGGCTGGTCTAGCACCAGATGGTCCAGGACCAAAGGGAACTGGAGGCAGATGCTTTGCCCCTTTGATGGTCCGTGTCATGGTGCCTGTCTCAGCGAGAGTCTGTCTTCTCTTTGGAAGCACTGCCTCTCCCCTGAGGAGAACTGTGTGGAGTGGAGAACTCAGCACACAGGCTCCTGGCCTCTCCCTTCTCTGCTTTCTATCCACGTCTCCCCCGTCACCAGAGCCCCCTCAACCCTTCCCACACTGACCACCAGCTCTGCAAAGCGGACATTGAGCTCCTCTGGGTTCAGGATGGGACCGGAAAACTCAAGATACTGCAATGGATGGCTGTTCCGGAGGTCGATCTCGTGGAGGTCACTGCCTCCAAAGCAGCAAAGGAAGCCCAGGCCATGGTGACCCCTCTTGATGAGAGCCATGGCTACTACAGGCTGGGACGGTCGGCAGGCAGGTGCGTTAGGTCCTCATCCACACAGTCTAGGTGATAGGGCAGAGAGAACGGGAGGTCATGAGAAAGAGCCAGACAGGTAGGGATCTGTCCCTACCCTTGTCACGGAGCCTGCTGGGGGCCATCAGCTCAGTACCGAAGGCCCGTCCCTTCTCTCACAGGCCTTCTGCTTCTTCCAGCCCTCTTCACCTGGAGTTGCTCAGCTGGCCTCTCCAGACTCACAGGTGTTTGCTGGCACAGACACTTCCCCACACCCTTTCTTTGTCCCGAGAGAAGTGAAGGGGGTGGCAGTCACAACATGTGACCTGCAGGCGGTCAGAGCTGGCGCTTAGCTGATGTCTCCATACCTGTGATGAGAATACTCTAGGAGTTCTCTGGCCCCTGGAGAGTCAACATACACCAGGGTCGGGGAGAGACGGTTTACAGGTGACAGGAGGAGAGGGCAGGAGTCAGCTGTTAGAAAAACTCTCAGCTAACTATAGGCCACGGCTCCTGATGCATAGGCCTCCAGAGGAGTAGAAGATGGACAGACTCCCTCCCAGCTCATGCTCACTCTCTTGTACTCAGACGTGCTTCAAGTAGCACAAAATATCCTTAAGGCGACAGCTCACTCATCTGAAGGATGCCGGTGTCCTCCACATGATGAGAGTTGGCTATTAAAACCCAAGGCATATGAGAGTGCCCTTCGGTGCTGAACATACTCGGGAAAATCTGGTCCCATCTGCTTTTCACACCCACCAAGGACAGAGGACATTGCTCTGGCCCGGAACTGGGACTGATTGACAGGTTGGAACAACAAGAGTTAATTCATTGACTTGCCACTGGGGAAACCTCACTCGGTGGTGCCATCATGGTTGCCACCGTTGTCCCTGGATTGCTTAGTTAAGCCATCTGCACACAGACCTCTTCAGGGCATAGCCATGCTCCACCTCTGGTTCCTAACACACTTCGGATGACCAGAGTGGATCCAATAAGGAGACTGACAAGATTCACAAACACAGCCTTGCTCAGCTCATCCCCCACCACCTTACACACAGAGCTCCGTTTTCTAAACATACATAGAGACAAAGCTCCATAGAGGATTTATTCATTTGTTTGCTCTGTGTGTGTGTGTGTGTGTGTGTGCACGTGCGTGCGTGTGCTCGAGTACATGCTAGGACCATGTTGCACATGTAGAAGTCAGTGCAAGCCACGTGAGAGCCAATTCTCTCCTTCCTCCATGTGTGTTCCAAGGATGGAACTCAGATTGCCAGGTGCCATCCTGCCCATCTTTATTTAATTTGGTGGGGGTTGTTGAGTTCTTTTTGAGTCTTGGTACTTAGCTGTCTCTCTTGTTCTGGGTTATTATCATGTGAAGATGGGTCCACAGCTGTCACTACATCATTACTGAAAATGCGGAAACAAACAAACTTGTAAATCCCAATGAGCAAACAGTCAACTCCTGGGGCCGTGATCCATCATCGAGCTCTGCACCCACGTGACCCTCATCCACGCCACTCCGCATGGCCAGCCTTTTCCAATACATCGATGTCTTCACTTGAGCCCTGTGACCTTGTTGTACCATCTCTGAAGCAGCCCTTTGAACCAAGCTCCAGAAGCTTACAGAGAAATTAAAAAGCTAGACATGGCACGTCGTGTAAACCCTGGAGCCCTCCAGAGGAGAGCACCTTACCCTTGGACTCCTAACAATTTAGTTAATAGTTGTGAAACTTTATGTCAACTCTCATTTTAAATTATAACCCATTTTAATTGCCATTCTAAAACTTTTTTAACGGTACCATTTTTATCTTTCTTTATAAATCTTGTGGTAGACTTCTTAATAGGTTTGGGCCAGCCTTAAATAAAACAGTCTAAAAGAGCCGTGTGACGCTGGCTCTTTCCTTGATTGAGCAGTGGTCCTCATACATATTTGAGGCACCTCCAAGACAGTGGCTGCATCCCCTGCCTTCTGGTGACCTTCGTTTCTATAGGTAATGAAAGACTTGTACTCCACAGTGCTCAGACTGTAGGTCTGTCAACTTAGAAACCACCGGTGTTCTCAGAAAGCAAGGATGGAGGCTCTTTGTGAGGTAGCCAGGAAATACCAGTTGGAACCACTCAGTACTAGCAGTTGACAAGCAATCTGGAACCTTTTCAAGGAGCAAGAGAAGAGTTCTAGGGATGGGATGGGGAGTCACTATCCCGGCCCACAGACCTCAGATGCTCCTGGAGGAATACCTGGGGTTTCCCATGGGATAAGGCAGCTGGTGGTCAAGATGGGTGGTGTCTGTCACTCTGTCATTGCTGGGACCAGATCCATGACAGAGCCACTTAATGATGTTTGCCTGTATAGTCTGGGACTTTTTAATGGAGTCTGGGACTACAGCCTGTGGAGCAGACCCCACCTCAACCAACCCAGTCTAGAGACTCCCTCACAGACAAGCCCAGCTAGGCTAGTCTGGTAATTCTAGACTATGTCAGGCTGACCATCGGTGTTGACCCCCAGAGTTGCTGAGACAAGGCTCTAGCGTCTGGGTACCCAAGTCTGAAGGCAGATGGGTTGTCTGGAAGGACACAAAGCCTGTCCCTTTTGTTTCTCAGCCTTGTGAATCGCAAGGAACTGGTGAGCAAGACATTTCTGGGTTGAGTGCAGAGTAGATGAAGAAGCTTCCAGAGGCTGAGGAGAGGAGGCTAGGCTAGCAGCACGGTGGGACTCTAGGAGGGTCAGAATGAGGCCGAGGAAGACACATATCCCCGTCCCCAGCCTTCACTCCCTCACCTTCCTGTACCCCGAGTCTTCTGCAGACTACTCAGCTACCCCCGCCCCCGCACCAGGCCTTGCCAAATCAGGGATATGAACCAGGATGACCCAAGCTGGCACGGGTTTGTACCAGGTGCTCACGCCACTATTGCTCTGGTTAGTCAGTGTCCTTGTGATACCCGTTATCACATGTGGCATTGCCTTCAAGCCAGGCACAGTGACTGCCCACACCTCTGCCCGTCTGCTTCCTTAGCTCCAGCCTGTTGGCAGAACCAGGAGCAGAGGTCTGGAAGCCAGGCAGCCTGGACTTTGACTCCTGGCTTTGCCTACCTGGCTGGTGGTAACCGCAAGGATATCTCCTAGCTAGGAGCTCATCTGAGCTACTAACATAATCACCACATCTTCCCCAGGGTGTTCTATGAGGAGCGAACAAGGCCATGAGCACGAAATGGCAGGGGCACCTGGGTGCTCTGTAGGTGGAGACTCTCAGGGTTACCACAGAGACTGGCCCTGCCCAGAAGCACATTTCCTACAATGGGATGCTTAGGCCCAGCCTTAAAAGAATTGCCGACTGGAATTCAGAAATCACCCAGCTTTAGCTTCAGAAACTGTGAAATTAAGACAGAGAAGTGGCCTTTCCCTGCATTCCAAACTCACTCTAGTTAGAAAAGTAAATGAAGGGATGGTGGGGTTTGAGGTGACAGCTAGGCTAGTTGTCCTGATTTAATCATTATATAAAATGGGCATGTATTGACACATTGCCTTGTATTCTGCAGGGATGCATAATGATTGTGCATTGATCAAAACCAGAGATGGAGTCTGGGGAGATGGCTTAGTTGGTAAAGTTTTTGCCTTGCCAGCATGAGGACCTGACTTCAGTCCCCAGAATCCATGGGAAAAAATGTCAGACATAGCTGTTTGTATGATCCCAGAGCTGGGGACAAGGAGGACCAGTAGGGAGCTTCCCAGTTTGCTGACTAGTCAGTCAGCTTATCCTACTCAGTGAGTTCCACGCCAGTGAAAGACTGCATGTCCAAAATGGTGGAAGGTGGATGAGCAATGCCTGAGATTGTCTTTTGTGTGTATGCACAGGCATGTGTGCATACACACACACACACATACACACACACACACACACACCACAAATAGAGCTAGGAATAAAGCTCAGCGGTAGAATGCTTGCCTAGCATGCCTGGGACTCTAATTCAACTCCCAACATTGGAACCCAAATCAATCCATCCATCAATCAGTCAATCGTCAGTCAGTCAGTCCGTCCCTCTGTCCGTCCGTCCATCCATCCATCAATCAACCAAAATTTAAAAAGAAAAAGCAAAGCAGAAGGCAGTGACTGGCCGTGGGCAGGGGTTGGGAAAGTGAGGTGGCCTGAGCAATGTGTCATTGTGAAGTCCCTTTAAGAAGAGGAGCAGAATTGAGAAACCACAGGGTCAGCAGGAAGCAAGAACAGAAGGAAACCCAGCGAACTTGAGCTCAGGCCAGAGGGACTGAACCTGCCTCCAGCGTGACCCACTTTTCTCTCCATGGAGGTCTCCCCAGAGCTGCAGCCTCTTGCCCCCCACATCCTGACCCCTTCCCACGGGGTCACAAAGCCAGGGGCCAACACCTTCCATGAGCTGCAAGCCTCCCCCAATGGAGAAAGCATCTCTTCCGGACCTCACCCTCACTGCTGCTGGTCCCAGCTCTGCCACTATGCTCGGGGTCAGTGGTCTTGTTTCACAGTGCCCCTCTCTCTGAGACCTAGAGTACTCCGATGGAGCAGCTGCCTTCGACTGCAGATCTCCAAGGACTCCGCCACTCCCAACCTTTGTCACTATCTGGCTTGATCCGTTCTCGATGGTTTCCCAAGGGCTCCACTATTCTGAGCATCGCGGATCCTGCATTCCACCCTCAGCCAGGCAGGAAGGACTTCCTATCTCTTGAATCTGTTTCTATTTGGTGCACTCTAAACCTAACCCCCAAGCCATGACCTTTCACCACTCCACACTGCGCAGCTCGCATCCCGGAACCTCAAAGGCCCCCATTCGCAGTATTATTTCTTCGTCTTAATTAAGTTAGAATAATGTCACTGCTTCAGAGTTGACAGCATGAAGGACACTGGGACGGATCCACATTATTCACCCGTGAAGACCTAAGATCGACGGTGTCAATTTAAAGAAGCCAACTCAGAGAGATGGCTGAGTTGGCGAGACCCTTGCCGCGCATGCACAGGGACCTGAGTTCCATTTCCCAGGGTTGCCTGCATTGTAACCCCAACACCGGGGAGGGAGGCAG